ACATTGGTGGGAGTGTGAATTGCTGCAACCTCTTTGGAGAATAATTTGACAATAATTCATAAGTTTAAATTACACATATCCTTTGAACCAGCAACTTTAATTCTAGAAATGTATCCTACAGGCATACATGCACTCGTGCACAGAGAAATACACACCATTATATTTACAGTTGCATTGCTCATAGTTAAGAAAATCTTGGTCACAGCCTAAATGTCCTTCCAATGAAGATTGATTATATTACTGTATATTCACCCATGAAATTAGATACTCTGCAGGCATTTAAAAACGAGGTTATTCTCTATTCACTTTAATGAAACTATCTCAAGATATCTACTTTAATTAGAGAGAAAGGCAGTTATATAAAAAACTATGTACATGTATGCATGTGGGCCAATAAACTAATGCTAGAAGAGTCCACAGGAAACAGGAGGGCAGCTGTGGGGAAGATGAGAGAAGTACTTGTCACTATCTGTCATTTATGTCTTTGAACCTGCTAACCTGTGTGGCCTATTCAAAATTAGTAAAACTTTACAACTACTATGAAGAAGCTTGGAAATTGGATGTTTATTAACGACTTTTAATTGTGATGTAATTTCAAATTTACGGAAACATTGTGAGAATGCTACAAGAAACTTCCTTGGAGCGTGTGTCGCATTTAGTTGTTATGTCTGATTTCTTACAATCTGCAGTATTATTCCTCACTGGAATTATATATCTTATAACATGGAACATTAACAGCCTTTCTCTGTTTTCTTAACTGCAAAATTTCCCAGTTATTTTGTTGACTGTCCTTTAATTTGGGTTTGTCTTCACTGGATTCGGGTTCTGTTTCCGGCAGACACCACAGCAGTGCCTGCTGTGTCCTCTCTGCCTCCTACAGGAGGCCCTGGGTTCCTCCGGTTCTCAGCCCTGGGCTGTCAAGGGGGAGTTCTTCCCTTCAGGGCACACGAAGAAGCTGTCAGGGTATTTTGTGGCACTTGAGCTGGGAGTTTGAGTCCCTGAGCTCCAGCAGCATTAATCGCGCTCTCCAGCAACATTAGGAGCTACCAGCCAACCTCCTGTTATTTGTTAGTTTTCCAAAAATGTTCTGAAGTGTCATCCACATAGTCACCCTGCTGCTGGCTTCTTACAGGAGGTTAAGAGTACCCACCACAGATATTTATCGTGTCTCTGTTGCCAGGTCACACGATGGGCTCTAAGAGCTCTCTCTGCAACTGGAAGTAGCATCAGTAGTTGTTATGTTTTTTTTTAAATAAATGTTTCAGAATTCCTGTACGAAAGACTGTTGTCCTCCAAAGGCATTTTTACATTTTCTCTATTGCTACTCACTAATTGGAAAAAAATTTAGGACCTCATTCATTCAGAAGCCAATAGAAAAAACATCTGGCTTATTTAATAAGTATTTTTGAACTTTTTAAAGAAATTAAGTGTTAAAAATAAATTGCTGTTGAGCTATTTTAACTATTTGGGGAATTCGAAAAGAACTATCTGAACAGAGCAAATACCAAAAGACTGGTATGAGAGATGGGGTGTCAAGAACAGCTTCCCAGAGGAGCTGATACTTGGGCTTTAAAGGAGTGAGAACCTGCCAGGCAGGTGGGGGGAGAAGAGACCAGGTGGGGAAAGGGGGTTCCAGGCAGAATGAACCCCATGAGCAAACCATGAAGTCATGGTGCTCTTGGGAACTGCAAGTTGCTCACTAATGTGGATGGAAGAGGGACATACAAAGAGGGTGGGGGCAGGTGTTGGTGGGTAATTAGAGAGTCAGGTGAACAGAACCTCAAGGCCAGAATGCAATGCCCTTGTGCAGTTTGCATAATACTCTTTGGGGTTCCTCACTGAAGGAGTGTGTTGTGATCATCTTTGCCACTACAGTACATGCTTTTATTATCTTATTTGTCATACTGTATTGTTACTATTTATTTAGAGTGCTATCCTGTTCTTCTTTTCCCTTTGGTTGCCAGAGTCAGGCCCACTGTCTGGCACAAAGTAGGTATTAAACAAATACTTGAGGAATACATCATAAAAGTTTGTTATAAAAGGACTGCACACGGAGGTGAGGGTTGTAGAAATTCCTTCTTTTGTCTCTAGTAAGAGATGGTATCATCCCATTTGTTTTCTAGGATAATTATAGCAATTCCTCCTGCGGCAAACTGAGCAGGTGACCCGACTGCATTACCTCAGTGCTTGTTGCTTCATACCCGGGAGGCTTCCGGAAGCCAATGGAAGTCTTGGCTTGGTGTTAACGCGTATACTGGCACCATCTAGTGGTGATTGTAAGCCTAATAAAATTAAAATTTCATCTTTGATAACCAGTTTCAAATAATCTTCTAACATTTTGTAAATTGCTAAAGCTTTGTATTTAATATTGTATTTCGTTGCATCTTTGCCACTCTTTCCAAGTTAATAATTATGCATTTGATAATTTTATTCATGTATTTTAATTGTGTCATACAACCATGATGCCTAGAACTTGTTATGAACAAAATAATCTTATTGGAAATATAAAGTGGAATTTTGGAGAAAATACATGATTAGACAGACCTGGAATCCTAGAACAACATTCTAATCTCCTATGTTATTTACTGTTCCTCTTAGTCACCAAGTTCCAGACTTATGAGGTAATTTTTTTTCTAATACCCTCCTTTTCTCCACCCCCCCCCTCTGTTTTGACAGAGTTTTTAAAACTAAAGATTGCTGTTCTTTTAATTTTTATCTTTGAAGACAGCTGTGGAGCAGGTCAGGCAAATATGAAGGTTAAGCTAGAAATTAAGCTAGAAAGGCTTGGGTAGTGAACCTTAGTTTTTTATTACTTTTTTGTGTGTTAGAACATGAGTTGTGTAGACCTTTGCTTGTGACTGCCAGTTGATAGACAGCCGAGGCAGGGAAGCAGATTATAATCATGGAATGAATTCCTTGTGTGTAGCAATGGCTGTGATTTAAGTAGCAGTGTTAATAAAATAAAAGCATTTATTAAAAATCTCCTTCCTGCAGAACATAATTGGAAACAAAATTAATTGCCTTTGTTAAAAGTACTTACTCAATGGCGGGGGGGGGGGGAGAGGGGTATGATAATTATCACCATCTTACAGATGAAGAAGCTGGAGTGCGTGGGAGGTTAAGTAGCTTTCACAAGGTCTCCCTGCTATTAAGTTTGCAACGCGAGCTTGTGAGCATTCAGAACCAGATGCAAAGGACTCCAGTCAGTGCTTTTAGCAACCGCATACGCTTGCTGTCTAACAATAAGAGGATGCATAGGAAAACCACCATGGCCACCACGGTACGAAATGCACAGAGAACCTGAAAGGGGGTGATAACTCCTGTTTAAACATACACTAACTGCTTGATGAAAATCTTGGTTTTAGTTTATTTTTGACATTATCAACATCTGTTTGTTTCCACTCCTAATGATAGCCACAGCCTTCATTGCAGTGTGAAGGAAGTCGAAGGGGCTTTAAGGTTCCAAATGCTTAGTTGTTCCTGGTACGCTGGCCCCACAACAGGAGTGCCTGGAGACAGGGCAGACATTCATGTCAGCGTTTTGTCCACCTGGCACTCCCTGCATTCGACTCTCGGAAGTGACCGGTTTGTGGCTCTGGGCGGGTCAAGTGTGGTGCTGGTGACCACTTGTCCATTTGGGTGTTGTTGGCCTAGCTCTGGTTCATATATGTTTATATATGTGGGTTAATGTGTACATAGGAAATTTATATGGGCTTTCTAAACTTTTTTCTCTGTAAATATAGACACATAATTTTGTGCCATCACAGTCATATTGTTACGGGAAATGAAGCGACCAGACACCGAGGGATTCTGGAGTATGAGGTTTATTCCTTTTTACATGCATGGGCCCAGAGGAGTCAGCCTCCAAATTCTGAGCCCTGAACAAAAGATTCTTGGGGAATATATAGATTAGGGGTCTTCCTATCTACGTGGCAAAGCAGGATACAGAAGCAGAATGCAGTAATTAGTTCTATCTACGGGGCAGAAGCAGAGTTCAAAGGCTCCTATCAATATCACATGCTGGGCATTTGTTTCCCTTTGTTGCTGTGGCCTCCTTCCAAGTACCCATGTGGCCTTCCTCCTCCTCACCCTACTGTGTGCATGCAAGGATACGTGGAACACAGCATGTAGTCTTCCATACTCTCTCAGGCTTACGTAGCCATTTATCAAATATATCTATGTACCATTGTATATACTAATTATATGCGGGGTGGCTTTTTAGCCTTCTGTGGTAAAAAAAAAATGGGACCATATTATAAATACTTTAAAAAAATACATGTATCTTGCAACCAGCTAACCCATTCCTGGTGGTCTTCCCCACAGAAATGAAAGCCCTGATTTGTAAGGTTGTGTGTCACGAGTGTTTTCTACAGTGTTACTCAAAATAGCAGGAAGAAAGGGGGATGGTTCAGTAAATAATGATGCACCTACACCATGCAATTTCAGGCAGTCATTTAAAAAATGAATTGGACTTATGCCAGAAGTATCTCCTCTATCATCCCTTCTATTACGGATTTTACTGTCTTTATTCCTTTACCAGCATTTTAGTGGGGTTTCAAGAAGGAAAAGAAGTAAGTGTGTCTGGACCTTTTTCTATACAATTGAAAGTCCGATTCAAGACAATTCAAAGTCTAAGTAGGTTGAAGACCTGTTTTGGCTTCCGTTTCCTTTCTTCCTCGACTCTTAGGTTATCTTCAGCTGTTCTCCCCACTTCTTACCCATCTATATTTTGAAATAGGAAATCCCCAGCCTCCAAAAAATTAAGTTCTTTCTTCTTTCTTGACTTTGAACCCCTTCTGCCCTTTTCCAACAACAGTATCTCAGCTCAGTCTCAAACATTGTTGCTAAAAGTACACTCAGAACTAGTGAAACGTCGATTCAAAAATTGTTCCTGTGATGTTTCGATTTTTCTGGGAGATAAGAGACTCATAGAAAAGAAATAGCATTTCTGTATAACCCCAGCTACTTCTTCCCTTTTTTTTTTTTTTGCTTCTAAACAGATTTGAAAAAGGGCGTATCTACACATTCATCGGAGAAGTGGTCGTTTCAGTGAATCCATACCGGTTACTGAACATCTATGGGAGGGAGACGATTGAGCAGTATAAGGGACGTGAGCTGTACGAGAGGCCGCCTCATCTTTTTGCTGTCGCTGATGCTGCCTACAAGGCCATGAAGAGGCGGTCAAAAGACACTTGTATTGTGATATCAGGTATTGGGCAGGGGCGGGTGTCTGTCTCCTGTTCTTCCAGCTGCAGAACGTATTTAACTTCTTAGGTACTTAAGGATCCAAGTGTTTCATTAGACCTTTTTTTGAAGTTAGAAACTTAAGCGATTTTTAGAAGAAAAAATGCGATGAACATTAAGTACTAAATTATTTTTGTCATTCCTGACCGCTCTCTAGTCTTGGTTCATTTACAAATACATGTTACACTTGGGTGGATTTCTAGTCACTTTTGTAGACTGAGCTGATATAGAAATGCCTTCCTTCCATCTCAAACACTTGAAGTACTGATAAATTGTAACAAAAATTATTTTAGATAATGACAGAATGAAACTGAGAAATGAAATCCTGAGATACCAAACATGAAGAATGAACTCTTTAAGTCAGCTTGGTGAATGGAAGCTAGTGTTGAGGGACATACTGGCATGCAGGCCGGTGATAGGATGATAGAGCTGGGGGCACCCAACGCAGAGGGAGGCAGACCCCTTGCCCAAGAAGTGGAGCTGAACTGTCTACAGGAAGCTGAGCCTTTCAAGGAAAATGGGGACAGGAAAAATATCTGCCCACTGACCCAAAGCCCTTCCCCCAACCGTGGAAACTTCTTTCGGTGCTAATGACACCTCAAATTTGGCATTAGTGGCTTTATACTTTTCAGAACCCTTTTATGATCTTTATTCCATTTTGGTTATCAAAACAACTCTGAGTGGTAAGTTAGGCAGTTGTGTTTCTACTTTACAGATGAGAATATTAAGGGTCAGAAAAGTGAACTCACTTGATGTTAAGAGGTAGAGAATTATAGCCCGGGACTACATTTTGTGAAAACAAATTATGTCAAGCAGTATTGCCTGATCATAAAAACACCCCCAAAATTATGTAAGTATTAAGTAAACACACAAAGTCCCCTCCCTCAGGGTATCTCATTCCCGCCAAAATTCCATCAGTGACAGCTGTGAACGAGAGTATTTTATCCTTTTATACAGTTTCTCTGTGTGTACAAATGCATATAGTCACACATGCATGTATAATTATATTACAAATACATAATTATAGAATTATGTTATAGCTGCTACTGTTTTTTTCATTAGCAATATGTATTGCATTAGCGTACTATGGAAGCAGTGCATTTTCTGACTACCGTGGAGTATTCTGTTGAGTCAATGAATCATAATTTATTTACCCAATCCTCTACTGATGGGCATATTATTTTCGGATTTTAGCTGTGACACATAGTCTGCAGAAAGACTTTTAAAACCTTTGATGGTTATTATTATTATATTAGTGTTTTATTATTTCCATAGTATACATTTCTACAGGTAGAGTTTTGGGGTCAGAAGGCATCAGAGTAGATAATTCTAAATTGATCTCTTCTTCCCCCTTTTACCAGTTGTCATGCGTTTTCAGTGACATGTGTTTGAAACCTCCCGCTTGATGGGTTTTTTTACCAAAATTGCTCTAATTTTTATTTTCTGAAAGAATTATTTTGTTCTCATTAAGACAAAAAAAGAGAGTGCTATAGAAAAAAAGATTATATTAATTTAGCTGTGGCTGCTGTTTGAACCCCTAATTTGATTTTTTCCTACTTAGACTTAGTGTCACTGTGAAGTACTAAGACTTTAGTCTGAGGAGTTAGTTTATCACATTTTATCTCTTGAAATTTTTGCTGAGTAAATCATGATTTGTAATCTATTTGTTATTTTACTTTTACAATATTTTTTTCAACATGTTCAGAAGTAGTACTTCATCAAGACAGGATGAAATAACTCCAAAAAAGCAAACATTGAAACATAGGGATTTCAAATAAATAACTAACATCATAAGTTCAAATTATTCCAGTAAAATTTAGCTTACTCTTGGTAATGCTAGCTTACTCTTGGTAAAATTTAGCTTACTCAGTTGTAATGTTAAGCCTTACACAATTTCCCCAGGTGAAAGTGGAGCAGGGAAAACTGAAGCCAGTAAATACATCATGCAGTACATCGCAGCCATCACCAACCCCAGCCAGAGAGCCGAGATCGAAAGGTAACAGGGGAAATTCTGATGAAAGCTTTACTGTCTGTATAGGATTGACTAGACCTAAACTCTGATATGTGTCGATCATTCATTGATGGTAAACTACTTCAGTTCTCTTTCTGTATGCTGTCTCTACTTTTATTTATATCACTCTATTTCTATATTCGTGTTTAATAGGAAAAAGCTGACTCCTATGGTAAGCTTTTTACATAAAGATAAAATTATTTTGAAACAGATGAAAGTGTCCCCTTTCTACTTTAGAATTGCTTCCTTAAATGTATGTGGTCAGCAGAGATGTTATAACTCGCGTGGGTAGCCCGTGGGTACAAACCCTCACAGGCTGCTTGCTTTTTCTATTTCTGTCTGTTTAAAACTATTGTCCTGAGGAGCCCTTGGTTCTGAGAGGGAAGGGGGCTCTGGAAGGGCAGACACACGCCATCATTGTTACAGCTCGAGTCCTGGTAGAAGTGCTCAGCATGACTCATTTCCTAAGAGGGTTCCAGCCACACCAGCCTGCCACTCACAGTAAGATGAGTGAGCAAGCTCCTGTGCACTGTCTGGGGCCCAGCATTTAGCAGTGTCTGGCATACAGTATTTGCTTAATAAATGTATAAGGAATGAATACATGAGTTTTTTTTTTAAAGTCTATAAAGCAATGTGACTCAACTTTCTTACATGGTATGGACTTTTTGAAGAGGAAAAGGATTTTTTCAGGGCTGCTGCTTTGAAGCTCAGTATTCATTCACTAAAGAGTGACACTCCATATACACTTCTCCGACTTCAGTTTTATGAATAGAAAGAAGGGATGCTGGCTTGCTGTGTGAGAAGGAAATTTAGACTTTACTACTCCATGTGGTCTTTCTGCCTTTCATCCCAATTGGACTGGATGGTCAGGTCAAAAGAGACGTTTTTATTCATTGTGACATATTTCCCACTTCTCATTCTGACTTTGCAATCTAATAAGACAAAAAATATGAGTAATTTTTAAAATTTTCCTTAAGAGATTAGGAGAATAACAGGCTAAGAACTAAGTGAAAGACTTAACTGATATGGAAGAGAGATTCCATACAGCTTCAAACAAAAATAATGAGCAATTTCTAAGCTAATAAAGACTACATTGATGACATATAACTTAAGTACAATCAATTGTACAGTTCTAGGCTTTATAAGCAAGTACTTTAAAAATTGTGTGATTTTCTGTTTCACCAATTCTTTCTTTTCAGAACATACTGTTTTAAGATTTTTCTCTATGTAAAAAAAAAAGTTCATTTAAAAGAAAAACTAAAAATTACAGCATTATGTCGAAGGTAAATGTCCTCTGAAATCCCAGCTACCTACCCCATCAGCTTAGGTAACCAGAGCAAAGTGTGTTGTTCACTCCAGGTTTTTGAGCATTTACTAACGTGTGCATAAGCATATACCCTCACATGTGTGCGTGCACACACACACTGCAATATGTATTATTTTGCAACTTAATTTTTCATTCATTAATATATTCTGGACATCTTTCTATATCAGTACATATACTCGGAAACAAAATTATTTGTATTCATCCCTGTTGGTGGACATTTGTGTTGTATGTGTGCGTGCGCACATGTAGAGTAGCAAACAGTGCTTTAGTGAGCATCTTTGTATAAATACTTACATGTCTTTTAATGAGATCTAGTTTTTTTTAAAGGTCCAGCCTTTTAAAAACTTTTTATAATGATTTTCATTTGTCTGTGTTCAAGAGTGAAGAATATGTTACTTAAGTCCAACTGTGTCTTGGAAGCTTTTGGAAATGCCAAAACCAACCGTAATGACAACTCAAGCAGATTTGGAAAATACATGGATATCAACTTTGATTTCAAGGGGGACCCTATTGGTGGACATATCAATAACTACTTATTGGAGAAGGTAAAATGTGCTTAATTTCTCAGGGTAATGTTTACAAGTACTGAATATGTGTATTTTTAAAATCTTAATCATAGAATTTCTTTAATTGCTTCAAAGTAGCTTTTAATACTATTCTCCCTCCCTTCCATCTCCTCAGTTAGCTTTCTGCAATAGGATATTCTCCTTTTGTGTTCTTTAGTAGCACTTACAATATCAAATTGAAAAAAGTTATAGGCTTGTAGAGAAAGTTACAGGCTTTGTGGGTAGGAGAGGGTGGCAGTGGTATGAGACTGTGCAACTTCTGGGTAAGTTTTAATCAAATACCAATCGGGGACCAATCCTTTCTACCCTTTTTACACATCACCACCTCCCATATGCCTTGGGACTTTTGGTTTGTTTGTTTTTAATGCATTATGCAAAAACTATCACATTCATTACCTGAAATAACACTCTTTTCAAACAGTCAGGAGCTACGACTCTTTTTAATTGACATATAATTGACATATAACCTTGTGTAAGTGTAAGGTATACCACATATTGATTTGATGCTCCCATGTGTTTTTATTCAAATTAATTTGAAATCTCATTTTCTTCTATTTCTATTTGTCTGTAGCATCCTTTATGGCAGTTTAAAGGATGTTTATTAAATTGAAGTCAGACTATTAAGGAAATTACATGTTTCTATCAGAGTCAGTTAGAAAAGGACAGGAAATGCCAGGTATTATCACTGTTTCCAAATGTTCCATGGCTTCACTTTGTGTGCAGATTCCCTGTGAACGAACATACATTTTTATAATAGCAGTCTTGTAATAATGGTCTTTTGGGAACCACCTAAGGCAGGAGTCTCCATAGACAGGTCTTGCTTAACTGATTTTATTGCAGACTGTAAGGCATTGCTCTTCGAAATGCCAGCAGACCCTGAGGAAGGGAATGTTGAGGCTGTTTGTCTCTAAATGGTCCTTCCTATTCTCTCCACTTCCAATTTCTTCCTAAAAAATTCCATCTTAAGGGTCAAGGTTAAAGATATCAAAAAACCCTTATTTGGGAGGGATTCTGTTTTAAGCAATAAAAAGAACTATTGAAAAATTGTACAGAAAATCATATAAAGGCGACTTTGTTTTAGATGGGTAGTCTCCATGGGGTTTTAGGACATTTAGATGCACTGTTGATAGAGGACTCTCTGAGGAAGTGGCTTTTGGTTTGTTTTAAGGGTACCTTATCAGATTAACAATTTTATTATTTTTTTTCTTAGTCTCGAGTGATTGTGCAACAGCCAGGAGAAAGAAGCTTTCATTCTTTCTATCAGGTTAGTAATCTGCTGTAATGCAGATCATTGATGGTTTGCTCAGTTGTGCAGGAAATGACAGTATTTATATTGGGGTTTTCCACTGCCCCATGCCTCCCTCGCCTCCATTGGCCCATGACACCTTATACACATGTGCACACACGCACACAGCCTACCCATATGTTTCTTCAGAGATTCAATTAGCATGACAATCAGAAAGATCTAGCAGGTAACTAACCAACCACATGACTGCTGTGGTTGAGCATCACCTGCATTTCTTTGCAGTGTAGATAACAGTTAAATGACTTGTAAAAGCTTTTGGAATGGGAAATCCTGGATATGTTAAGTTAATTTTGTTTTATTTTAAAATAAAACTGTTGTTCCCTGGTTTGGGAGCTTCAGAGATAGGAACACAAACACAGTTTATTTTGGTCATAGAGACTATAAAGCAATATGATTACTTCAAAAAATGGATTTATGATTCAAAAGAATTGTCTTTTTTATCTCATCAAAGCTGTGATTGCTGTGAAAAAAAACCTTTTTAGAAAAAACATTTTGAACACCTCTTTTGGGAATGCTTTTAGAGACTAAGGCAAAATCTTTCATAGTAGCCCTCCTGTTAACACGTTTTTTTACTCAGAAAACAACTTTTGTACATGATAGTTTTTTAAAGCCCAGCATAATATAGACCAATGCTAATAAATAAAATGGGTAACCCAATTAAACCATACTGTCTTGGATTTTTATAGCATAAAATTATAAAGTCAGCAAGATTTGTTTCCATGTGTGAACTATCGTGGTTACCCTATTGCCCTCCTTTCGTGCAATACGGAGATTGAGGAGGAAAAGCCATTTCTTTCCAGTGTGACTCTGCCCGTGACTGTCTGCTGATGAGCTCTTACTTCCCTGGCAATACTGACTGTTTCTGAATTCTGAAACGTAGCTCTGCCCTGTCTGATGACGAGGCTGCTGGGCAGGTGAGCAGCGCAAAGCCTAGGCTTCAGCCTTACAAAAGACCGTAATAAAAACAAGACCTTCTATGCCAGTTATGTTATGAAAGAGCTAAGACCTTTAAAGTGATTGTCTTCATGATTGTATAACATTCTCCATGACTGATAACTACTGAAGCTGTTAACTTCAAGGTAGAAAACAAAACAAAACTTCAAAGCCAAAAACAGGAGGTCCTAAGTAAATTAAGCCCAGAAAATGTGTGAAAGCCAGCTTGCTTTTGTTAGACCATCTGGTATATTTGGCTTAGTGTGTGTTTTGCCAGTTTGTGTTATATTGTCTTTTAGCTACTCCAGGGAGGTTCAGAGCAGATACTGCGCTCTCTACATCTGCAGAAATCCCTGTCGGCCTACAACTATATCCATGTAGGAGCTCAATTAAAGGTGAGTGTTTCCTCTGAAATTGCTCAGAAGGAGAATCAGAAAAGCATCAGAGGGGACGTTAAATAATTATCTGGTCCAGCCTGCTGCCTTTAGGCAAATGAATGACTCTTTTATTATTAAAATACCCAGGGGCAGAGGTTCAATACAGAACTGACTCAACAGCCTTGTTAATAACCCATTACTATACATTGTCACCATCTGACAGGAAAGAAGTTTCTCTCTTGTGATCTTTGTTTTCTTTTCATTTTTTATTCTGTTCTTTTTGACACTAAAAAATATTGATATGACTAGCAAATCCACCTCAAAAGAAGATACCACATGCTTTGGACAAAGGCAGGTTGTTAAGACAAAAGAAAACGTAAAAATGTTTTTGTTGAAATGACTGTCAGAGTTCTCAGTTCACTATTTTTTTTCAACTAACAATGTGTCCTAGAAGTATTTCTATGACCCTTGGAGCATGTCTGTTTAGCTTCAAAATTTTACCTTTTTTTCTTCACTTGCATGTGTGTCCTTGCACACGTATGCAGGTACTTTTTGCTCCTTTTTTCTTTTCTAATTAGACTTCTGCTAGTCATTTTTCAGCTGACCCTACTAATAGTTTGTTAATGGTAGACTGTAAACAATATTTACAGTATTATCCTAGTTTGTTGGGGGAAAGTACTATATTAAAATACATAAATTAGATATAGAGGGAAATAGACCAACATCTTAATTGTTTATTCTAGATTGATGAGATTACAGATACATATTTGTGTTCTGCTTTTTCATATTTTAAATGTCTTCTGTGATTAAAAATACATTGCTGTTATAGTTGGGGGAAAATAAAAGAATTTATGAAAGGAAAGGATCTAAGATGTGGGCAGTGTTCTTTTTACTTTTAAATTTTTATTATTCATCTTAAGCTACTTATACCTGCATTACTGGTTTACCTGTATTTTTATTGCTGTGCATAGAAATAAATTGTATTTAGGGTTTCACAACTAATTTTTCATTGTTTGACATTTATGTTGCATGAAATTTTTACTTTTATAATCATCTGAGAGCAGGATATTTGGACAAAATTGATTGAAAACAAGCAAAACATTAGAAGGCAGCACTTCAACCTTCTGAAATAGGTCAGCGGTACTAAAGATGTGTGATGTACAAAGGGTTGTAAAGGCCAGTGACAGGAAATACTGCTTTTTGTCAGATTGTCTTATTGGCCAAATTTCTTTCGGCCAGGTCACACAGACCCTCCCCCAGAGAGAGCAAGAATGAAGTGACCACTTTGCCTTCTGAGCTAAATTTAGCTTAGATTCCCATTTCATCAGATTTTTCCATTCCTATCCCTCTCCCCCTCTTTTTCTTCCTCTCAAATAAAAATAAAGAAGTATTACATGATCATAGTCTATACTTGATGTAAAGATTAACCTAAAAGAAACAAAAATAGCCAAAGCTTCCTGTCTAAAAATAATTATTGATAACAATTTATATATATATTTGTAAATGGATTTATTAATAAATCCAGATTAAATAAAGCTGCTTTTATTATATTACAATACAATTATTAATATGTCCACATTAACAAGTATAAATTAAATTACTTTAATAGCTATAAAGCATTACACTCTATGTATTATAATTTTACTTAACTATCCTAAAGTACAGGGTTCATATACAATTTAGATGTTTTAGGTTGCAGGTAAGATAAGACTCTAAAGTCTCCAAAAACAATAAGGAACTTTCTCATATAACAAGAAGCCCTGGACTGGAGCCATTTCAGAGCTGGTTAATTCAAGGCCTTAGTGTGGATAGCGACCCAAATGTTGCTTGTTTCTCCAACTTTACAATTCCGCCATCCTCACTGGAGCCAGCTTCTCTGCTTAGGCTAATTTTTCTCATGGTCCCAAAATAGCAGCAGCAATTCTAGGAGTCACAGGCTGAGGAAGTGTTCCTGGCTCATATCCCTTCATAAGCTAGGGGGTAACTGTGTGTCTTATTGGCCAGAGTGGAATCACGTGGTCATGGCTGACCAATCATTTGGTGAGGGGAATAAGATCACTAAGGTTACTGTAGACTGATGAAGATTTTCCTCCTGAGTCTGGGGGTACCCATCCTGATAGCCACGTGTAATAGGAGAGGGATGAGCAAATCACGATTCTATCAGGAAGAAAGAAATGAGGATGGGGAGTGGCTGGTAGCTGAGCAACCAGCAAGTTCCCCACAGGAGGACATTTAGACTTTTTTTGTCTTCTTTGTTTGCAGTTTCAACACAGTTGCAACTTGTAATAGTAGTAATGTCTGATACTTATTGAGTGCCTTTTATGTACTAAAAACTAAGGAGGTGCTTTATGTGCATTCTCCTTCGGTTCTTACAACAGACCTGCAAGAAATGTGTTATTATGTCCATTTTACCTGAGAGGAAGTTGAGATTCAGTGAGGTTAAGTATCTTGCCCAAGGTCAAAGAACAGGGAGGTGGAGGAGCTTGCATGGTTGTGACCCGGACACTAGAGGACCCCTTCCTGTGCCCTTCCTCGAAAGGTGAGAAACTCAGCAAGGAAAGGGTCAATGAGGCCCTCTGGAGCTGCTGCTTTGGGATAATGTCTAAGATAGGCAGTTACCATTGCTTCATTATGAATTTCTGTCAATACCTTGATATTTCCAGCCTGAGGGCTTCAGCTCCTCAAGGCAGGTGATTCTCTTTGGACCCTGTCTTAGTCCAGTTGGCTGCTACGACAAAAATACCATATACTGGATGGCTTGTTATACACAACAGATGTTTAATCTCACAGTTCTGGAGGCTGGGAAGTCCAAAATCCAGGCACCTGCAGATTTGGTGTCTGGTGAGGGTCCACTTCTGGTTTATAGATGTGCCTTCTCACTGTGTCCTCACAGGGTAGAAGGGACAGAGGCTCCCTGGGGCCTCTTTTGTAAGGCACTGATCCCATCACAAGGGCTCCACCCTCATGGCCTTATCATCTCCCAAAGGCCACGCTTCCCAATATCATCCATCACCTTTGGGGTTAGGATTTCAACTGATGAATTTTGGGGACCCAAACATTTAATCTGTAGCAAACCCTCTGAACCAGAGGGTCTGATGCACTGTTTGTGAAATTATAGTCCCAAACTAGTTACCAGTTTGCTGAATGATCGAGGCATGTTGCTTGCTCTGAAGGTCTTCTTTTCGTCACCTGTGAAATATGAAGCCTGACTGTACAAGAGAGGGAGTGTTGTTTCCAGCCCGTACGAGACGAACTGTGGAATAAAAGGCCACAGGCCGTGAGAGGCAGGCACGTGTCTTGTAGGCCCCCACAGTCCGTGTTTTCCTTTGTGTTTCTGCACATCTTGTGCCGTTTCCTTCATTCATCACAGGGGGCCATTGGCTTCTCTGAGTCAGCTCAGGACTTGCTCCCTCTCTGAAGGTTCCAGAAAAGTACGGGACATTTATTTTGGGTGACAGCGGCTCTCACACACAGTGGGCATTGTGTGTGCTGAAAGACATCTCTGCCCTGGAAATCATATTTATTTTTTCTGGATGCTCAATGACTTACTACAAAAGCCTCAAATCCTGATGAAATTTGAATCTGGTCTCCTAATTATTGAATTTTAATGCTCATTTGAAATGTCTGTGACTTAATGTTTCCATTTCATTCCTAGTCTTCTATCAATGATGCTGCAGAATTCAAAGTCGTAGCCGATGCCATGAAAGTAATCGGCTTCAAACCTGAGGAGATTCAGACGGTGTATAAAATTTTGGCCACTATTCTTCACTTGGTGAGTAGGGCTGCCTCTCAGCCTCTACTGCCTCCCTGTGGAGACAGGACGCTCTTTCCGATTTTGGACTTTTTCCTTACAGATTTAAAAAGTAACTTGTGTAGAAAATTTTTCTCTGATGTTTTGAAGAAATTGCTCTATCAATATTTTTTTCTGCCTTAGTATCATATTAGGAGGGATTTCCAAGCCACGATAGGTTTTGAGACGATGGCTTTTCTTAATTCTCTTACTGGTTTATTCCAAGAATAAGAGAATTCAGCATTTAGCAAGGATGTGACTACCAACAGTATAAACTAAAATCCTCTGAACCGAATAAATTTCTAACAGCCTTTGAGACATTGGAGTCATAGGCTATTAGACCTGGAATTTTGATCATCTCATTCTACAGGTTGGGAAATGGGCCCTACGCGGGGCCTTCCTGGCTCAGAGGTACAGGGTTCATGGTGGCCAGTGCCGTGGACCTCGCTGGCCGAATGACGGTCCAGTTGTTTTCTGCTGTGCCACACCCAACCCAGAGGAAGGGAAGAACCACGTGTCAGACCTCTTTCATGACTGTTTATGTAATTGGAGGTGTTTAAAATATAATGAAAGTGTCTTGGCTGGTGTGGCTCAGTGGATTGAGCACCGGCCTGTGAACCAAAGGGTTTCCGGTTCAATTCCCAATCAGATGCCTGGGTTGTAGGCCAGTCCCCAGTGGGAGGTGTGCTAGTGGCAGCCAGTCGATGTTTCGCTCCCTTTCTTTCTTCCTCCTTTCCCATCTGCCTAATAATAAATAAGATCTTTAATTTTTTAAAAATGTAATGAACATATAACCTCACAACAAATAAGTGACAACATGAATTCAAATATGGAATAAAGGTTATCTTTCACTTCATTGTAGCAAGATTTAATTCTGAATGAAGCAGGACCTATGTAAAAATAGTATATAGTGATATAAATGATATGTTCCTGACTAGGAAGATTTTAATATTATAAATTACCTCATTCTTGGAACTAGTTTATAAATGTAGTATAACAGTGTCCTTCAGAATCCAAATAGAAATTTTGTTTTTAAGTTGATATAATGATTCTCGAATTTACCTGGAACAGTAAACATGTAGGAAGAGCAAATCAAATGTGTTAAAGAAGAATAGTGGGGGGGGGGGGGAGGGAAGAGAGAAGGCATGACTAATTTTTACCAGGTTTTACACCATACCTTAAAACTTTGTGCAAAATTCAGCACTAGACTAATCAATAGATTAGCAGATTTGGTTGATTGTTAGTATTTATTGAATGAATGGACTATTAAAAAGAACTCAAAAACTTGGAGAATTTCACATATAATAGAGGTAACATTTCAAATCAAGACAAAAAGCTAAACTATTCACATAATAGTGTTGGAACAATTAACCGTCAGAAAAAAATAAAGTTAGATACTTATTTTTTTAAGTATTTTTTAAAAGATTTTATTTATCTTTAGAGGGGAAGGGAAGGAGAGAAGGAGAGAAATATCAATGTGTGGTTGCCTCTCATGCGTCCCCTGCTGGGAACTGGCCCGCAACCCAGGCATGTGCCCTGACTGGGAATTGAACCACGATTCTTTGGTTTACGGGCCGATGCTCAATTCACTGAGCTACGCCAGCCAGGTCTAGACTCTTATTTTACACTACATACAAACAAATCCTAGGTGGACTAAAAGCTTACATGTAAGAAAAAAATGGTCCAACTATTAGGAAAATATGAAGTATTTATAAAACCATTGGACTATAGATGGTCTAAGTCTGACACCAATGAAAGATTCATAGATTCGACTATGTACAAGTTTAAAGCTTGTACCCATTTAAAACATTGACTAAAAATTAAAAGAGATGGGTGTCTGGAGAAAAGGAAAAAGTGGATAAAGCGCTAGGTTTTTTATACATAATATATTTAGGAAAGTAGGTGCTACAAAGAGTCACTTTGAATTATGTCTTAAGTTAGCAAATGTATCCCTGACATAATGTTACAGAATCTCATTGTCAGTGATGTGTCCTGTTTCTTCCCTTCTGATGTAGGGAAATTTAAAATTTGTGGTGGATGGCGACACGCCCCTTATTGAAAATGGCAAGGTTGTGTCCATCATAGCAGAGTTGCTGTCCACCAAGACGGACATGGTGGAGAAAGCCCTTCTCTTCCGGACTGTGGCGACAGGGCGCGACATCATCGACAAGCAGCACACGGAGCAGGAAGCTAGCTATGGCAGGGACGCCTTCGCCAAGGTGGGGCTCGAATGCATGTTCTCTGGGCCTGCCGTTGGTCTCGGTTGCAGTTTCAGTGAATTTCTGTGGGGATGTGTTCACATGTTTCTTGAAAGTAGGTCGAGACTTTTAGAAACTGTAATGATACTTTTTGGCCATCACAGTGTCAGTAAAAACCCTGACTGAGCATCACTACTAGAAAATGTCCTGAGAAAAGCAGAGCTGACTGACAAGCTGACGACGCTTGCCTCTCGGGGCCCCTCGCCTGCACAGGCCCCTCTCGTGGCTCTGTTTTGCTCCTCTCACTCAGCAGTGCTTCGTGGGAGTCCCCTTCAAGTCCCCTGATGGAGTCCTGACCCATTCTGTTTGTCTGTGCACCAGTGCGCAGTGACAGTTATATAATGTAGTAGCCACCCTCCTTCTAAGTCGTTCACCTCGTCTCCATTTTTTGCCACTACAAACTGTGCTGCAGGGTGCCCTGGACCTCGCTGTGCACACAGGTGCTTTCATGTCAGTTGGAGGGACTCCCGGGAATGAGCTTCTCAGTCACAGGACACACTGATTGTAAACTTTACTGATTTTATAGGTACATAGTGATATCTGATCCTTCTCACTTTACTTTTTATTAGTAGCGTATTTAAGCATCTCATCGAAGGAGGTATTTACGTATGTTCTGAGAATTGCTTGAGTGTATTCTTTGTACATATCTTTGGGGACCGTTACCTTTTTATTATCCATTTGTAAAAGCTAATAACTTTAACCCTTTGCCTATTTTCTGTGTGGCAAACATTTTATTTTTTCAAGTCTAAGATTTTTCTTTTCTTTTTTTCTGGTTAATTAGGTTGCTTTCTATTCCATTTTTTATTCTCATAAATCCTAGGCTTGGTTTTTAGTCATGGGAAGAAATTGAATTTATCTCAGTGCAATGGAGAGTGGAGGGTTTGAAGGTGGGACAATGACGTGGTTCGAATTTTTTAAATAATTACTCAGTATGGAGAGTCTTGTGGGTGGGGGCATAAAGCAAAAATGGAAGCAAGAGACCCATTAAAGGGATATTTCAGAAATCCAGGAGAGAGACTACGGCAGCTTGGACTAGGAAGGCAACAAAGGCAGAGGGGAGAAGAGGGCGAGTTGAGGCCAACTGTGTTTGGCAGATAAAATCCACAGGACCTATTTGTCTGGGGAATGATGGAATCAAGGAAATCCCTTAATATGGTCTGGCTCCAACCTACCTCTTCTGCCTCATTTCCTGCCAGATTCCAGCCTCCTGTTTTTTTTTTTTTTTTAGTTAATTTTATTTAGTTATTTTTCCAGCCTCCTTTTTTTCACTTCAGCACATTGGTCTTCACTCAGGCCACTCAAGTTGTCTTCATCCCTTTCTCCTTCTGGCTACAGGGCCTCTGCACATGTGTTTCCTCTGCTCAGATTGCTCTTCTCTCCCCTCTTGCTTGGGTAACTCCTACTCATCCTGACCTCAGCCCACTTTCTCAGAAAAGCTTCCCCTGGTGGCCTTGAACACTGAGGTTAAATTCTCCTCTAGTCTGTGTGTGTGTGTGTGTGTGTGTGTGTGTGTGGTTTTCCCTTCACCTCACTCTATAAGCTCCCTAGAGACCATGTTGATGTTTGCCTGGCACTGTATCACCAGCAAACTGCACTTGGCAAATACTTGTTGAATGAAGGAATAAATGCTACGTTTCTCTTGCCATTATTCATGGTTTAAAGTAGGGTACAAACAGTTTTTGGGGATGGGAAAACAAGAGTCCTGACAGGATCTAAGTTTGAGGTGGCTGGGAAACATCTGGGCGTGTAGCCAAGCCTAGGAATCTGTCTGGAGCAGGGCGGAGAGGTCTGGCCTGGGATCATACACTGGGGAGGAGCAGTGTGTCACTGCTGTTCCATAGTGGGCGGTGCAGCTGAGAGAGGCGTTGGTGAAGAGAGGACTAGGAGGAATTCCAGCTTCCAGAGGTCATGTAGGGAGGACCTGCCAAAGATCACCTAGAAGGAGCAACCAGTGAAATAAACAGAAAATTGGAAAAGTGTGGTATCCTGAATCCCAGAGAGGGGAACATTTCACAAAGTGAGTGGGACATTCAGTTGAGGTGTGCTGAGTATCTGAATAAGATGTCCTTATACTGGGACAAGAGAGTGTCTCTGTAGTGATGCTCAGGGTCCTTGATGAGCCATTTCAGTAGAGTATTGGGAGCTCAGCAAAAACTGGCATGAATTGAAGAGTAAAGGGAGGTGAAGAGTGGAGGCAGTGTATATAGATGTGTGTGAGCAAAGAGAGCGGTTGGCTGGAGGGATATGTCAAGGAAAGGTTTTCTAAAGACGTGACATTGCAGAGCATGTTTGTACCAGGATGTGACTGTGTGTTCCTCTGTGGTGCTTTTGTCTTCATGTGACATGGCATGTGTATCCTTGTATATTGGATGCATGTTTGATCCTCAAGGAATTTCAGGTGGTGGCCTTTGGCCCAGATCTTTACTTAGCATTATAAATCAATATTTATATTTTTCAAATTTATAGAAGTTTAGTGGAATGCAGTTATTAACTGATTGGCTTCCCACTGTTTTATAGTTGATGAGATTAACAACAAAGCAATGAAGTGACTTATATGGGACAGTAGAGAAATTATTGAAATAGCTGGGTACAGAAGCATACCTGGGGAGTATCATTGGAGAACAGTACATGTCGTAACAGATAATAATCTCAAAAATCCAAAGTATTTAGATTTGCGTATGCTGTGTTGAGTTGTCGTTTTTATCAGACAATCTGCCTTTTTATTGTTCCGCTTCAGGTAATAACCACAGTGCTAACCAGTGAGAAGGACAATAGGAATTTAAAACTTCTCACAAACCTAAACATAGACTCATTCCCAAACGGGCAAGAATTTACGATGTTGTTTTCCTCACAGGCAATGTATGAGCGCCTCTTTTGTTGGATCGTGACTCGCATCAATGATATTATTGAGGTCAAGAACTATGACACCACAGTCCATGGGAAAAACACTGTCATCGGCGTCTTGGATATCTATGGCTTTGAGATCTTTGACAACAACAGGTAAACTGGATTAGATACTTAAAAACGTGTGGCTTACTTTTTATTTGTTTGAACTTAATGCATTCTTTTCTTGCAGCTTTGAGCAATTCTGCATCAATTACTGCAATGAGAAACTGCAGCAGCTTTTTATTCAGCTGGTTCTGAAGCAAGAGCAGGAGGAATACCAGCGGGAAGGGATCCCCTGGAAGCATGTGAGTAGACCTCTGTGGAAGGTGTCTCTATGCCTTTCACAGATTATTGGTAGTGTCAGATCTTACCCTTTTCAAAAGTATTTAAAAAAATCTTTTGCATACATGAAACACCAAAATTTTAGGGCGTTTTTTTTTTTGGTATGTGTAAATATAATTCATTTTCAGGGTTGGTAGGTGGGATTTCTTTTACTTAAAGACTCCCTTGGCCCTGGTCAGTGTGGCTCATTTGGTTGGAGTATCATCTGATAGACTAAAAGGTCACAGGTTCAATTCCCAGTCAGGGCAGATACCCAGGTTGCAGGTTCAATCCCTGGTCAGGGCACATACGAGAGGGCAACCAGTCATTGTTTCTCTGTTACATCAATATCTCTCTTTTTGTCTCTCTCCTCCAACCTTCTCTCTAAAAAGCAATGGAAAAAATGTTCTTGGGTGAGGATTAAAAGAAAAAAAAAAGACTCCCTTTTTGGTGCCCAGAAAATGCTGAGTTATGATTGGTAAACTTAACATTTCCACTTTGTGGCTGATACCAAATGGGTTTTCTGTCTCACATCTGTCTATTAAGAATTTAGTATCATTTATAAGTTACTTGGAGCAACAACTTTTGTGTTAAACTGTTTGAACTTTGCTTCCAGATTTAGTCCCTTCTCCTTCTTCCTTTTCTTTCTTTTTCTCCTTTTACTCCTTTTTTTCTCCTTCTCTGCTTTATAAACTAAATGACATTGTCTTCAGTTGATATTATTCCTGCTCTGTGAAATCCTTGCATGAAAACACATAAACTTTATTTCCATGAGGTCCATTTATTTCCTGTGTGTCACATTTCAGTCATCACCTCTCTTTTCATGGCTCTTGCTAAGCTATCGTATTTGTCAGAGTCAAACTAGGTGGTAATACACAGCCAGAGTATATGCCTGGTCTGGAGTGAAAACCCCAGTATCAGCTAATACGCATGATAATTAGACCTCTTGCCCATGATAGAAATGAGACCTAGTAATTTTTTTTTAAGTTTATACTTTAAACTATTTCAAGAACAGACTTGAACAAGGCAAAAATTTCTAAGTTTCCATAAGTTTTTGTGTTTATCCTCTTGTTAAATGGTATAGGCAATAAAAATAAAGTCAGTATTTGTTTTGTGATATTCAACATTATAGCAGTGAAAAAACTTTGAAAGGCTGTGTTTAAATTACTTTTATATTCCTTTCCACCTTCCCCATCTATCTCCTCTCATTCAAAAAAAACAAGGCCATAGTAGCTTCCCTGCTTCAAATTGCATCTTTGTCTTTCCTCATGTGTTAAACATTAGAATACCATAAAAATTTTGTTCAAGTACACCATGATCAAGTGGGATTCATCCCAGGGATGCAAGGATGGTACAATATTCACAAGTCAATAAACGTAATACATCATATAAACAAAACAAAAGGCAAAAATCACATGATCATATCTGTAGATGCAGAAAAAGCATTTGATAAGATTCAGCACCCATTTATGATAAAAAAAACACTCAGAAAAGTGGGAATAGAGGGAGCATTCTTCAACATAATAAACGCCATATCTGAGAGACCTACAGCCAACATCATACTCAGTGGGCAAAAGCTAAAATCTTTTCCAATAAGATGTTGTCCACTTTCACCACTTCTATTCAATATAGTATTGGAAGTTTTAGCCACAGTAATCAGACAAGAAAAGGAAATAAAAGGCATTCAAATTGCAAAGGTGGAATCAAAACTGTCATTTTTTGCAGATGACATGATAAGTATACACAGAAAATCCTATAGACTCCACCGAAAAAACTACTCGACCTAATAAGTGAATTTGGCAAAACAGTGGGATACAAAGTCAGTACTCAGAAATCAAAGGTATATTTGTAAACCAACAATGAAATATCAGAAACAGGAATCAGGAAAAAAATCCCGTTTGGTATATCAACAAGAAAAATAAAGTACCTAAGTGTAAACCTAACCAAGGAGGTAAAATACCTGTACTCAGAAAACTATTAAAAACTATGCAGAAAATTAAGGAAGACACAAACAAATGGAAGCATGTTCATGGATTGGAAGAATTAACATCATCCAAATGTCATACTACCCAAAGCAATTTACAGATTCAATGCAATACCTATTAAAGTACCAATGACATATTTCATAGAAATAGAATAAACACTTCAAAAATTTATATGGAACCAGAAATGACCCCGAATAGCAGCTTCAGTTTTGAGAAAGAAGAACAAAGTAGGAGGGATCACAATACCTGATACCAAACTGTATTACAAGGCCCCTGTAATCAAAACAGACTGGTGCTGGCATAAAAACAGTCACATAGACCATTGGAACAGAACAGAGAGCCCAGAAATAAACCCAAGTCTCTACGGGCAATTAGTGTTCGACAAAGGGGGCAGCAACATAAAATGGAGTAATAAAAATAGCTTCTTCAACAAATGGTGTTGGGACAACTGGATAGCTATGTGCAAAAGAATGAAACTCGAGTACCAACTTACACCATACATCAAAATAAACTCAAGGTGGATTAAAGATTTAAATATAGGCCATGACACCATTAAAGTCCTAGAGGAGAACATTGGCAGGAAAATCTCAGATATTCCACACAGCAACATTTTACCGATATGTCCCCTAGAGCAAGGGACATAAGGGAAAGAATAAACAAATGGGATCTCATCAAAATAAAAAGTTTCTGCACGGCTAAAGAAAATAGTATTAAAATAAAAAGAGAACCAACTGTATGGGAAAACATATTTGCCAATGATACCTCAGACAAGGGTTTAATCTCCAAAATATATAAAAAAACTTACATGACTCCACTCTAAGAAGACAAGCAACCCAATTAAAAAGTGGATGAAGGACTCGAACAGACACTTCTCCAAGGAGGACATACAGAAGATCCAGAGACAAATGAAAAGATGCTCAGCATCACTATTCATCAGAGAGAAGCAAATTAAAACCTCAATGAGATACCACTTCACACCAGTCAGAATGGCCATCATAAACAAATCAACAAACAGGTGTTGGAGAGGATGTGGAGAAAAGGGAACCCTAGTGCACTGTTGTTGGGAATGCAGACTGGTGCAGCCACTGTGGAAAACAGTATGGAATTTCCTCAGAGAACTAAAAATGGAACTGCCTTTTGACCCAGCAATTTCACTGCTGGAATTATATCCTGAGAGCCCTGAAACACCAATCCAAAAGAACCTGTGCACCCCAATGTTCATAGCAGCACAATTTACAGTAGCCAAGTGCTGGAAGCAAACTAAGTGCCCATCAGTAAATGAAATGGGTCAAAAAATTGTGGTACATTTACACGATGGAATTCTATGCAGCAGAAAGAATGAAGGAACTTCTACCCTTGGCAACAGCATGGATGGAACTGGAGAGCATTATGCTAAGTGAAATAAGCCAGGCAGTGAGGGACAAATACCACATGATCTCACCTTTAACTGGAACATAGTTGACAAAAGAAAAAAGCAAACAAAATATAACCAGAGTCGTTGAAATTAAGAACAATCTAACAATAACCAGAGGGGAAGGGTGGGGAGAGGGAACAAGGCAGGGAAGGGTTTTCAGAAACTACTGTAAAGGGCACATATACAAAACCCAAGGGGAGAGTGGAAGCAAGGGAGGGAGGTGGGTTTGGCTGGAGTCGGGGGGAGGTAGGTAGAGGGATATGCAGACAACTAATTGAACAACAATAAAATAATTTAAAAAAATGTTTGTTCAAGTATATTAGTATAAATTTTACCTATTTACAAATAAACCAAAGTATGCTATTACTTTATAATGGGATTACCTGCTATTCTGATTTAAGGAGTAATCTCTTACAGCACATTTAAAATGCAGTTCAATTCAATAAAGTTTATGGGGTCTGTCCAGAATGTATCCAGTCATATAGTATGAAAAATAGAGACATTTGTTAAAGAAGATACAAAATATAAGAAACAAGAAATATTGTACATAGGATAATGATGCCTCAGTCCCCTTCAAAGTAGGCACCTTGGGACTTAACACAGTTGTCCGAATCACCATCTACTGCCCTGTCATATTGTCTCAAATCTCATTGAGGGTCTGAAATCTCTTCCCTTTCAAAGATAATTTTAGTTTTGGGAAAAGCCAGGCATCACAGGGCACCAAATCTAGGGTGTAGGGGGGCTAAGTCACCTGGGTGATTTGATGTTTCTCAAAAAAACTGCACTAAACGTGATGCATGAGAGGGCGTGCTGTCATGATGAAGCTGCCAATCACCAGTTGCCATAGGTGCAGCCTTCTGAATCATCTGAATAGCTTCCGCAGAGGAACATTCAAGCTTAATGCAAAATTTATTGCAGATTTGTTGTTCTTCTCACTCAGTCATTTTGAATGCAACATCCACACAGTACACATGCTCATTCAATGGTGTCTCCTGCCTCCTCTGACTAGTACAGTGAAGTCATCATTGTTCTTGCACGTGAACATTCCAGTCCACTCTCCTTGGCTAACAGGTTACATTGATGTCACGCAAATCATTCTTGTTATGTTAACAATGGCTGGACTTTTTCCAGACAGATCTTGTTGTTTATGCAGCTTTCTTAGAATGAATATGTTATGTAATATACATAATTATAACTGAGGCTTATATTCTGCTAGCAAATTTAATAATAAAACTTGTTATTCATATGTGATTCAGAGATATTGGTCAAAAATATCTTCTAATAATCAGAATATCAAATTTCACAGATGTACTTGATAAATGCAAAAGTCAACAATTGCAATAGGCTATTTCAAACATCTGAAAAAGGAACAAAAGCACTAAACATGGAAAAATTTTTAGCAAAATTAAACCAAGATATATGTGTCCTAGAGAGAACAGAAGGCTAACTCCAAGATAACAGTTGCTCCCCCCAAATTAGAATCATTATTCTGGGCAAGTATGGCCTGTAAAAGTTTCAGAATTCTGAACATAGTAATTAATTCTTTTTTATTGGAAATTTCAAATACATAAGAGCAGAGATTGTAATGTAATAAACTCAGTGTACCCATCACCAGCTTTAACAGTTAGCAGAGGGTTGCCAGTCTTGGCAACCCTCCAGTTCCATCCATGCTGTTGCCAAGTGTAGAAGTTCCTTCTTTCTTTCTGCACCCACCCCCTGCCACCAGACTGTTTTGAGCCAAATCGTAGACTGCAATGTGACAGTCATGTGATGCATTTCATCTGTAAATATTTCAGTGTATTTCCCTAAACTTAAACACCTTTACAAAAACCATAACCTCAATACCACTATCACACCTAAAAAGTTAGCAGTAATTTCTTAATATAAAATATCCAGTCACTGTTCACATTTTATATTTTCTTAATTGTCTTAGAGGTGTTTTGTTTTGTTTTGTTTTTATAGTCTGTTTGAATTTGGATCCAAAAGAGATTCTGCCATGATTCGTTCATAATTCTCTCACATATCTGTAGATTTTCTCTCTCTTCCTTGTAATCTTTTGTTGAAAAGAATGGGTCATTTCTCCTGTAGTGTTTCCCATAATCTGGATTTTGCTAATAGGATTCCTGAGGTGGCACTGAATATGTTTCTCTAGTTTACTGTTTGTCCTTGGTTGTTAGATCTAGAATCTCAACTGGTTTCGAGACCAGTGCTTTTCCTACCAGTGCTATGAACATTCTTCGGGAGGCTTTTTTGCCTGGTTGTCTCATGGATTCAGTTTTAAAAACTTTTGGTGCTATAGTTTGCAGGTCATTTTTAGCTGTTGAGAACTTGACTGTCAGGCACAAAGCTGCTTGATTTGGAGTGGGTCTGGGTGGTCCAGAGCCCACTGCATCACATCCTGGCTCCCCCACCCCACCCTTGGTCCCCTAAGAAGTCTCCTGGAGATGTCAGGTTGCTGGAGGAAACTGGCTTGGAAACCACCACTTTAAACAGCATAAAACCTACCAACTAAGATCAATCACTTTTGGTTTATATAACTGCAGTTTTAGGGAACTTAACTTCTTTGTCCCTAGGACAAAAGACTTAGCCTCTAATTCCATAGTCCCAAAGTTTAAAATTTCAGCTATTAATTAATATGGAGTTCTTGGGGTTTTTTTTTTAGTATTTTAAGGATATTTTTCCAAAGATGGAAGTAACTTTTCCCCCTAAATAGAAATGTCATAAAAACCACAATGAAGACAAATATTTAGACCAGGACCTCTCCATCTCTGTACTACTGACATTTTGGACCAGATAAACCTCTTTTGTGAACCTGTCCTGTGCTTTATAGGAAGTTTAGCAGCATCTCTAGCCTCTTTCCACTGGATGCCAGTGAGACTCTCCTAGTCACGACCATTAAATATGGCAGCAGGCATTGCTGAAAGTCCCCTGGAGGGCTAAGGCACCTCTGTGGAGAACCACTGATTCAGACAAACCAGGAAAGTATAAAAGAGAAAATAAAAGCCACCTAGTTTGAGATTTTCAGTCCACAGGATACAGAAGAGAACTTGAAACACTGGGAATGGAACCGAAAACTACAGACAAGTAATGGGCACGAGTCCTTGATTTTTAAATAACACAGAGCCAAAATATATGAAAAACTTTAATAGTCTAGTATGAATTTATAGATCTTATGGAAGGTAGTAGAGGCACCTCTCAGTTTAGGGACCCCTAAATGACATGGGACACATCAACACACAAGATGAAAATGTACAGCAGTAAGCTGCCCAGCCTCCGGTGAAGTTCAGCTTGCCCGAGCCAGGCTCCTGTGTGCTCTGCGTCTGGTGTGCTCTGAAGGACATTAGCGTAAATAGGCATTGAAGAGCATTTTTGTGTAAAACTTGTGCATATTGAAGTTGCCAAAAAGCCAGAGGTAATGTATAACTTCATTCAACTCATGGAAGTAAATGGAAAACTTATTCTTAGCTTTTATCGATATTTACATCTCAGAGCTACATTTTTTATGGTATATTCTGAAAAAACATCAAAACTCTCCTAAGCCTTAATATGCTTATTAACTTTGGGAAACTGGAAGAGATTTGGATTTTAGTACAGGCCCATATAACTGGAAATGCAAGCTCTGCATAATACCTTCACTTCCTCACGTTATATATCAAATACAACATGAAGGTTATTTGTTGGTATTTGGTGTCATCTGGGTCATGTGGTCAATGGCAAACAGATTGGGGGACTGAGAGTCTGAAGGAGGAGGGTAGGTACATATGGAGGCGCCACTGTCTTACCCATCCAAATCTCTGCTCCCTTTGGAATTGCTCCTTTGCTGTGTCCCGCAGATTGATTACTTCAACAATCAGATCATCGTGGACCTTGTGGAGCAGCAGCACAAAGGGATCATTGCAATCCTCGATGACGCCTGCATGAACGTCGGCAAGGTCACCGACGAAATGTTCCTCGAAGCACTTAACAGTAAATTGGGCAAACACGGGCACTTTTCCAGCCGAAAGGTAATGTGTGTGATGAGATCTTCCTCTCATTTTCATCCGTAAGATTTTCCTCATTGTTTGACAGATCTCAATGACTGTATATGTTAGGTTACAAGAATGTCCACTTACCTAAGAAAAATGGCTATAAACATCCATTCAGTGATTTATTGCTCTGGATAAATTCTGCCTTCTCTGGTTTATAAGATGACAAGATTGATAAAACTCATAATATCCAGGAGAGGGAGCTCCAGACTATGTAATTTACTGGAAATAGAAAAAAATGAACAAGATTCTTTGAAAAGCATGATGTCATTTATAACCAATAGGTACAAAGTCCTTGTTCACATGCTAGAATTTTGCTCCTGCATCTGATAATTCTGGCACTGGAAATAGCTTCTGTCCTTGACTTTTTACTGTAGCCCTCAGTTATAATAGTGTATGTGCTTTGCCAGACTATGTGACTTTCTTAAAAACAAAGAAATTCTAGCTATAATTCTGGTTGTTACACGGAAACTGGTTCTTTAAATACACGGGTATCCTTTCAACTCCCCATGTTTCACATTGTAAAAATGTTATCAGCAGATCATGTCCTTGAATCATTGGTGGCAGTTGTGGTTATCAGACCTTTGTGCTGTGCCTTGCATGTAGAATGCTATTAATATTTGTCCTAGGAGGGTCACCATTGTCCCCAAGTGTTTCTTATAAATACAGCTTGTCTGGCAACCATAAGCTAAAGTAAAAACAGTCCTCATACTTCTTCCCTTCCATGAAAAAGGGCCAAACACTTTTGCTCCTCCATAATTCCATGTCAGTCTAGGATGCATTGCCATTCTCAGCACAGATAAATCTGTTCTCTAACTTTGTCCCCTTTGAAGTTATGTAATCAGAATAGGAAGATTCCACAATTAACTAGGTAAAGCACAACCATTAGATATAAATTACTGGCTGATATTTGTTTTAGGACAGTTTATTTCTAAAATACTCTCCTTGGGCTGTAACTGAGGATTGACTTGTAGCCCTACTACAAGTTAGCTTTGAGATACTACAGTCTGATCTTGGACATTAGGGTTCTGGTTAGAGGTACCCCTTTAGTTATTCCCCATTTAAAATGCAAATACTTACTAAGTGCCTCTCATTTTTTAGGCACAGTCCTGGGTGCTGGGGGAAGACCAGTGAGCAAAATTAGAAGCCACCTGAATAATTTAGAATGATGCTTTTAGAGATGGTATGATTACATGGGCAGATGTCCTGTTTTTGAGAGATAGGTGAAATGTCCTTTGCAATCACAGTTGAGGTTTTGTAGACTCGCCTAGAATTGTGCCTACCAGATGATCAGTGTTCGTCAAATCTGAATTGAATTGGTCACGATCATACCGAATAAACCTTACAGAATATTGCATTTTAAATTAAAATCTGCAAGACTCAAAATCATCTCATTTTGATATGTTTCACCTTGGCCATTTATACACCTGAATTAAATTTGTCAACCAAGTATTTGGAAATATGGTCTCATTCTCAACACAGCAACTGTGCATAGTACATTTAAACAGTTGCTACTGATTTCATAGGAAATGCTGAACAGTAATTAATCTGTAGAGATTGGATTTTCTTTCTTTCTTTCTTTTTTTTTTAAATGTGGGAGCCCAGGTTTTGCCAGCTCTCAGACCAGGTGGCTCCTTCCTCCAGCATCACCCCAAGACAGGCACTAAGATGGGGGATTTTAAAGTATATTCTTTCCTGGGATTTTTCCCTAATGAAGGAAAGACATGATGTAACCAAGCTGTCAGGATATTTTCATCACTATGAATCTTTCTGTTACATGATGCTATTATTATTCTGTATGTTAAGCCAGGTCTTAACCATTTGCTACTGGTTATTGATTAGCTATAGTTATTGGCATGTTAAATAAGAGGTTTTTAGCTTGTAACATTTATTTAGGTGCTAAATTGTTTCTTATGCTTTACAGTTATGAAGAGGCAGGAAAATGATCTAATAAACCGTAAAATTACTATTTAAAGAATTATTAATGTATGAAGTTAAATGATAAGTGCATAGCTATTATTATTTTTTAGAAAGTAAAGCCTAACACATTCTGTGTTCAGATCAGTTAAGAATTTGCAGTACCCAAATGTAAGAATATTTTGTTAGTATAGCCATCTCTTGGCTCCTTCTCCTTTGGGGGTTTTATAAATAAATAGGCTTTACAAAAGTTGTTAATAAGAGAAGAAAAGAGGAATCAAATATTTTGGAGAAACTCTGTATGTCACTGGATCTCCATAGTTTGTTAAACCTTGAAGATAACTTCCCGAGATGTGATTATTAAAGGAGACAGAGCAAGCAGATGGCAGAGCCCAGAGTGGAGCCTTGGAAGTCTGACTTCTAATTTCCTGTCTGACTGTGTGCACTTGTTGAGTAAATAGACTAATTATTCCTTTAACAGTATCTAGATATTGGCATAGACCCCACCATCCTGGTTAGGATGATTTGTTATCTAACACTACAGCCTAAGTGGTTTTGGTGCATAACTACATCAATATTTTGTGGATTTTTAGACATCTGCCTTAGAACTTAAAGGCTATCAAGTGATCTTTCACAGGGCAGACGAAGTCTAGGTGCCACTGTGACATGGAGAATTGCAGCAAGTTATGGAGACCACCAGGGCTATATAGAAACTGCCTTTCCATAAAGTATTCCTCTTTAGTGAGAAAGAGCTTCTGAAGGTTGGTTAATCTCTATGAAGTGACAGGCTTGAACTGGAGTCCCAGCTTAGCAAAAGACAGGTGAGCCACACTCTTGTGTGTACAAGAAGCACAGACATTACCTTCAGTCCCAATAATTCTTCCCAGAGCTACCACCTGCAAGTTACATGGCCTTCTGCCACTTGCCTAACCACTTTAAGCCTTAGTTTCCACGTGTGGAAAGGGGAGCACATAATACTGACTCAACTACCAGTTGTGAGGATTGAATGAGATGTGTGCACCTGCCAGACAGCAGGCCCTCAGTGTGGCCCTCCTTAAGTGGAACGTTGAGAAGGAAACCGTATTCGTCAGGGTAGGCTGGGATGCATTAAGACTGCAGCCAAGATTAAGTGTCATAGACAGTAGAAGCCCACTTTTTCTCAGGGACCCAGACTTCTTTCATCTTCCGGCTCTTCCATCCCCCAGGCACTGCCCTTCTCTGCATCCAGCTAGTGGGAGGAGAAAAGAAAGCGCAGAGGAGGATTGCCCCCTTTTCACCAGCTCGGCCCTGGAATAGCCTCACCTCACTTCCGCTCACCTCCCATTGTCCAGAACTTGGACGTTCGGCCACATTCAGCTGCAGGGCTGCTGTGTGGATTTCTGGTGAAAGCTTGTAGTCTTTACTACACAAGCAAAATATTTCAATCAAGCCCCACACCGTGTGATTTCGTTCATAATGACATCATGATTTGTAACATTTTATCATCTCATATAAAATTGAAATATATTTTTAGGAAAGTGAAAATGGCTATTTCCAAAATAATCTCCTTCTTAATTTCTTAGCTCTGTGCCTCAGACAAAATCCTGGAGTTTGATCGAGATTTTCGAATTCGACATTATGCAGGTGATGTAGTGTGAGTATCTTAGTTTGGTACCTCATGTGATGGTTTGCATGCAACCTCCCTTCAGAAAATATAACTGGGGGGAATATAAGTTGTTTTCCTGTTCACTTTATATACCTCCTTTAATCTTTCACTTTAAAAAGAAGTTGGCATAGCTTCATTCATTCCTTGCTTTTCAAACATTTACTGAGCACACACTTTCTGGCTGTGCACAGTTCCTGGCACAGCTGGCAGTCAGTCAAAGTCAGCTGATGGATAAATACATCATGGAACCTTGTAAGAACTAGGATGGAACAATAGATGAGAGGGGCCTTTCCTTAAAGACACTAAGAGTTACGTGGAGGATGTAAGATACATGGTAAGTCACTAAAGAAGAATGAATGGAAGGGGTAGACTACAGATGCACAAACGAATACACTGAAGAATAATAATTACCAGAATGAGGAGTATAGAGAAATGTTGCTGAAGGAAGTGATGCCCAAGCTGAGTCCTAAAAGTAAAAGAGGCTTTATTAGAGCAAAGAGCTAAGAAGAGAGGAGGGAGAAGAGACAGCAGACATACAGGCCCTGAGATGAAAGTCATCACTGTGTGAAGAACTGTAAATAGTTGGGTAACTTTATGAGCAAAAGCCAGTTTGCCATATTATTTTTCAAATATGATTTAAAAAAGTAAAACTTGCATGAGCCACATTTGCTGATTATAATAAAAGTAGAAATTGATAAGAAAACATAGTTAAATAATATAATTGCCACAGTGTTGTAGTTTCGAAGAGCTGCAGTAACAAATTACCTTAAATTGATGGCTTAAAACAGGAGAAATTGATCCTTTCATAGTTCAGGGGGCCAGAAGTTTTAAATCTAGATGTCACAAAGCTACACTCTGAAGGCCCTGGAGAGGAGCCTTTTCCAGCTTCTGGCAGCCACAGGCACTCCTTGGCTTGTGGCCTCATCACACCAGTCTCTGCCTCTATGGTCACATTGCCTCCTCCTCTTGGGTATGTCAGTGCTAAGCCTCCTATGCCTGTATCCTAAAACTACACTTGTGACGGCATTTAGGGCCCACCTGGGTAATGCAGTTCAAGCTTCTCCTCTGATGATCCTTCGTACCAGATAAGGCTGGCATTCACAGGTCCGAGGGAATTTCATGGGGATGTTTTTCAGGACGGCATTTTTTCAGCCTACTATACTTAGTATGCTTTGACTGTCCCTGGAACACTGCCCCATGTCTTAGTATTTAAAGAGCCCTCTTGTTCTTTCTTCTTATTTTTTACATTAGGGATTCTGTTGATATTCCTAAAACCCATTATAGGGAAAGATGAAGCAATAACAAAAAAGCAAATGATGATCTCTAAATGCTGAAAAGACATTTGGAGAAATTTTAATAGCTGTTCCTGATTGAAATTAAAACTCTAGAATTATAAAATAATATGGCTCAAAATTATCACCCCATCTGTCAAACTAGCCATTAGTGCTGGTATAGCACCATTTCCATCTTTTCCTGGTCCTCTTCCCAGGCTCCAGAATACTGAAGAGGGAAGACTCAGCACTGCACAGCTATCTCCCAGTGCAAACGCAGGCCTCACCTACACGATACTTCCATCTAGCTCGAAATGGCAGAGCTGGACAGAACCCTTAGAGACCACCTAGGCCAGCCCTTTTGTTTTATAGATGAAGAAACTTACACAGAGTATGTAGAATTCATACCCAAGGTCACACAGCATGTTTATGGAAAAGCTGAGGCACTAACTAGGTTTCCTGACTCTCAGAACTCTAGCCGACCTCTTTGAGTGTATTCAGTGCCTCAGGCTTGCCCTGCTCTCCCTAAGCCCTCCAATTCTTGTCTAGATTTTTACTGGACATAGTCTTTGTGCACAATACTTCATAAAGTATGGTCCCTGCCCATAGCAATTCATGTAAGATACATACATAGGTATATGGTTGTGTTTGTGTCTTTATACACATAAATTTGTAGATCATCTGTATAAATAGTTACACACATACATATACACACATTTACATACATACACTGATACAATAAAAGGCGGTCTAAAATAATTGCCATATGAATTGTCAGAATTCAAAATAAGGAAGCGATATAATACTTCTAGCTGTGTGATAACCCAGGAAGGCTGATGCTGCCTTCCTTGGATGCTAGGGATTGTTTTTATAGGAACAAGTGGGAAGAGTGCTAAAAAAAATATTCAAGAAATAGCAACTAGGACCATTTGACTGGAGGGTGTCCTTTTTTGTAGCATAGACAAGTAGAAATGCCTGGAAAAATAGGTTGAGATCAAATTGTAATGAGTCTTGAAGGCCAAAAATAAGGACTTTGAAGTTTGAATTTTATGTGTTAGACAACAAATTGAGTCAGGTGACTTCAAGGGTTCAGTTAGAAATGACTTGAAGGTATTAAGAAGAAGACTGAGGTGGGGGAGGCAAGGACATAATTTTGGACTGGTGACCTCAAAGGGCCTGTGGGCAGCATAGCCTTAAGGAACTTTCTTATAGAATTAAATGTGTAAGGATGAAACATTGGCAAGGGTTAGAGACCTGAGAATTGTGTACATTGATGTAATTGTCAACAAGGATGTCTAGACAGGTGAGAAAACAGCTGTAAGGAGCAACTACACCTAGAGTTACTGTTTGCTCAACGGCCTAGCCTCTGTCCTTATCACCCAGAATCCTCCATTCCTCTTATACCCTGAGTTCCCTCCGAGGAGAGAGGCCATGCCAGTCACTGCAGCAGAGTGGCTCCCATTCATTCCCTCCCTTCTCACCAAATGCTGGATTCCAAGACCTTACTCATCTCCCTTCCTCCAAACCATGAATAGTGGCCTTATTTTCCCTCAAGAAAACCGTGCATGTGCCTGCTTGCATCCCTTCCTTTAATCTGTTTCCCTGTGTGATCTGCCTTCCTTTCTCTTCTGTTTATCCAACTCTTACCATCCTTTGCAGTTCTCCTTGGATTCTTTTATTTCACCCTGAACACACTGAGTGAACCTTAGGCAAGTCACTTGACCTCCGTACGGATGAGACTCTTAGCTCCTGTGTGTCGCTGTTTTGCTTTTATCTTAGGAATGTTGGATGATAAGTACAGCTGTCTATTTTAAAAGTCATCTTCTTGAGGTAAGCAGTAAACCAGTAGAAAATTATTGTAATTGTAATAATGGTAATGATGTTTGCTCTCCCTTTAAGGAATAGAAACAATAGCCCCTGTACGTAGTAGGGTAAATTTGATATCCCTTAACATAGAACATGGAGGACAGAATCAGCCTTATTGATTGGTTACATAATTAAGAGCAGGATGGCATGTAGGCTTCTAGAAAAGCTTAAATGTGGCTGTTTGGTGAGTAATGCATGCTTTTCTGTTTTTTCTTCTAGCTATTCTGTCATTGGTTTTATTGACAAAAATAAAGACACTTTATTTCAAGATTTCAAGCGCCTCATGTATAACAGGTAGGACTAAATTTTATTATCTTTATATTAAACTCTTTGACATTAATTGCACAGTATATATACAAATGATTATTTTTATGTGACAATTTTAAGATTTTCTGGTAAATTTTCTAGTTCTGCTTGATCACACTTAACGAATAAGATTTACTTTATAATTATAAAAATTTATAAACATAGGACAGGCACCTACTGTTAATATGATTTTCCTTGATTTTTCCTCTGGTTGCCTCCATTTCTCTGGTCACTGCTGCCATCCTTCTGGCACCGCCTACCAGTGTAGGCAGGAGTCCCTGGCTAGGCCAGTGAGGAAGGGAGGGTGTCAGCTAACCTCTGGCACAGGTGAAACCTGTATACACTCTGACTCCCACTGTAGTGTCTTAACCTCTAAGAGAACCCTCAGATATCAGAGTGACATTTCACATCAGTGGTGATGTATCCTGAGTGGACAGAATCTTCTCACAATCCCAGAAAACATGAAAAAGCTATGGTAAAATAAAACAAAGCAAAGCATCAAACCCAGTGTGATACTTTGGAGAGAAGACCCATGAAGGAAAACAGATTCTTAGCCAGCTTCTTTTTTTTAAAATATATTTTACTGATTATGCTACTACAGTTGTCCCATTCCTCCCCATCATCCCCCTTCACCCTGCACACCCTTTTCCACCCATATTCCCCCCCTTTAGTTCATGTCCATGTGTCATAAGTTCTTTAGCTTCTATATTTCCCATACTATTCTCGCCCTCCCCCTGTCTATTTTCTACCTACCGTCTATGCTACTTATTCTCTGTACCTTCTCCCCTCTTCTCCTCCTCCCACTCCCCTCTTGCTAACCCTCCATGTGGTCTCCATATCTGTGGTTCTGTTCCTGTTCTAGTTGTTTGCTTAGTTTGTTTTGTTTTTTGTTTTAGGTGTGGTTGTTAATAACTGTGAGTTTGCTGTCATTTTACTATACATGTTTTTTATCTTCTTTTTCTTAGATAAGTACCTTTAACATTTCATAAAATAAGGGCTTGGTTGATAATGAACTCCTTGAACTTGACCTTATCGGAGAAACACTTTATCTGCCCTTCTATTCTAAATGAAAGCTTTGCTGGATAGAGCAATCTTGGATGTAGGTCTTTGGATTTCATGACTTGGAATTCTTTCCAGCCCCTTCTTGCCTGTAAGGTCTCTTGAGAAATCAGCTATAGTCCGATGGGGACTCCTTTGTAGGTGATTGTCCCCTTATCTCTTGCTGCTTCTAGGATTCTCTCCTTCATTTTAATCTTGGCTAATGTAATGATGATGTGCCTTGGTTTGTTCCTTCTTGGGTCCAACTTCTTTGGGACTCTCTGAGCTTCCTGGATTTCCTGGAAGTGTATTGCCTTTGCCAGATTGGGGAAGTTCTCCTTAATTATTTGTTCAAATAAGTGTTCCACTTGTTGCTGTTCGTCTTCCCCTTCTGGTACCCCTATAATTCATATGTTGGAACATTTAAAGATGTCCTGGAGGTTCCTAAGCCTCTCCTCATTTTTCTGAATTTTTGTTTCTTCATTGTTTTCTGTTTGATTGTTTCTTTCTTCCTTCTGGTCCACTCCCTTGATTTGAGTCCCAGTTTCCTTCCCATCACTATTGGTTCCCTGTTGCATTTTCTTTCATATCACTTAGTGTAGCCTTCATCTTTTCATCTAATTTGCGACCAAATTCAACCAGTTCTGTGAGCATCCTGATCACCAGTGCTTTGAACTGTACATCCAATAGACTGGCTGGCTGTTCGTCGTTTAGTTGTATTGCTGTGGAGCTTTGATCTGTTCTTTCATTTGAGCCTTTTTTTTTGGGGGGGGGGTTTGGTCACGCTTGTTACATAGTGGGGGGGGACCCTTAAGTGGTCACCAGGGCAGGGCAACCCAGTAGCTGGGTTGTGATGTTGTATGTAGGGGTGGGGGAAACAATGGCTCTTGCTCTGCTCTGCCAGATTTCAGTCCCTTATGTCACTTCCCCCAAGCAAACTCAGCCCTTCTGGTGCTGATTCCCAGGTGGGTGGGCTTGTGTACATTCTAGGACCCTGTGGGTCTCTCAAGCGAACTCTCCTGTAAGGCTGGGAGTCTCGCTCTGGGCCTCAACCCCCACAGGTCTTTTCGATCTGTGTTTTGAGGCTTTATTTCTCGGCACTGGGACCCTGGGTTGCACGGTCTGTCTCGCTCCCCAATTTTGCCTGATTTATCAGCATGTGAACGTGGGACCACCTGGTCAGCCAGATGCCTGGCACACAGTGTCTCACTTCACAATCGGCACCTCACTGGGTCTGCCCTTTGCCAACCCTAGCCCAGGGTCTGCCAGCTGCCGCCTGTGTGCCCCAGTCCACCCACTGCCATCTTGCAGGCCCAGGTGCCTTGTGTTCCCAATGCCACCACTTTTTGTGCCTCGACCCCTCTCTGCCCGGCTGCTGGACTCCACCCCACCTACCCATCTGGATAATTTTGTCTATTTGATCTCCTTGATTGTCCAACTTCCATACAGTTCAGTTTTCTACCAGTTCTAGTTGTTATTTTATTTCTAAGTTGTTGTTGTCCTTATTTTGGTTGTGCAAAGAGGTACAGTGTATCTACCTATACCTCCATCTTGGCCAGACAGCCAGCTTCTTCTTTTGGATTAGAGAACTGTAGTCACTCATTTATCAAGTCTCCTCAGTCAGTTGGTCAGTAGATCATCAAAAATTATTGTGCACCTTCGAGCCACATGTTCTTCCATGCTCTGGGATACAGCTGTGGAAAAAATTCGGACAAAGTCCCTGCCCTCCTGGAGCCTGGATTCCAGTGGAGATTATAGTCCATAAATAAAACAACTAACTTCCAGGTAGTGACAAGTGCTGTGAGGAAAAATAAAGTAGAGAAAAGATTGAAGGGTGCAGGCGGGAAGGGCAGGGGAGACGTCATAGATAGGAGGGTCAGGAAACACTTCCTACAAGAGGTGACATTTGAGAGGTGACAAAGACCTGAGTGAAGTGAGGTCATGAGCCAGAGGGTCAGGAAACACTTCCTAAAAGAGGTGACATTTGAGAGGTGACAAAGACCTGAATGAAGTGAGGTCATGAGCCAGATTCTGTGAGGGGAAGAGCACTCCAAGCAAAGATAACTGCTAGTACCAAGGTGCTAAGCTAGGAGTGAGTTTGGGAGTATTGAAGGCTGTGAATTCATTGTGGCTTTAAAGAAAGAGGGGTGGGGACGGTGATAAGGAATGAATTTAGGAGGTCAACAGGGCCTGAGTTATAAAGAGTCTGTGAGCCAAGGTGAGGAGGAGGTATGAAGGGAAGCCATTGGAACTAATGACATGATGGAGAAATGACTGGGGCTACCTTACAAAGCACATACTGTTAAGGGTAAGAGTAGATTGGAGAGACCAGTTAGAAGGCTAGCTGAGTCATCCAGGCCAAGACTTGGATGGTAGTGACAGAGATGATAAAAAGTGGTCAGAGTGGGTGGCATTTGGTAAGTAGAGCCAGCAAGATTTGCTGATGGATAGGATGTGAGATGTAAGAAAAAACAGAAATCAAAGACAATGCCTGAGCAATGGGGAAGGGATGTTTGGTGAGGGGAAGACAAGAGGAGGAGCCAAGCTGGGGGACAAAGAAATCAGGAGTTTTGTTTTGGATGTTTTATGCCAGTTGGACATCCAGCTAAGTATGCCACCCAGACAATTGCATGTGTATGCATCTGGAACTCGGGGTAAAGGTGGGACTAGAGATATAAATTCATTCATTGATAGTGTTTAATGCCATAGAGTGGATGAGATTCAGAGTGCACATAGATTTAAAAAGAAAAAATAAAAGAGGTCCAAAGAAGAATCCCAGACACACTCCAACATATAGAATCAAGAAGCAAAGGAAACTGAAAGCGAGCCAGTGAGGGAGGAGGAAAACCTGGAATCTGGTGTCACCAAGGCCAAGCCAAGAAAAAAAGTGCTCTAAGAAGAAAAAATTATAAACTATGTCAAAAATCTGTCAAAAGCAGAGTGATGTGAGGACCAAGACTAACCATTGGACTTGCTGACGTGAAGGTCAGTGGGACTCTCAACAACACTGGTCTCAGGAGAGTTGAGAAGACTAACATGTGATTGAGCGGGCTCAGGGGAACACAGAAAATTAGACCGTGGAGACAGTGTGTTTAAACAGTTCTTTCAAGAAGTTTTGCCAGAAAATGGTTCATCTGTGTAGATGCTACCAAGAATGATAACGGAGCTGTCATCACTAGAAAGTAGTTACAGAGAGCCCTGGCTAGGTGGCTCAGTTGGTTGGAGCATTGTCCTATACACCAAAAGGTTGTGGGTTCAATTCCCAGTCAGGTCACATACCTAGGGTGCAGGTTCAATCCTTGGTCGGGGCACATATGGTTAGGCCACCAGTCGATGTTTCTCTCTTTCTCTCCCCCCACCCCAACTTCTCTCTCTCTCTCAAATCAATAAATATATCCTCAAGTGAGGATTAAAAGAAGAAAGAAAGTTACAAAGACAGTGAATGTGAGAGAGGATCCGTGTAAGAGCTGGTTGTAGGGAAAAGAGGCTTCCAGAAAGGAGTTTCAGAGGGACAGTGACAGAGAAGGTGGCATTGCTCTGTATAGAAAATGTCGAAACTCAAATTGGAAAAATGTCCTTAGCTCGCCAGTGGCAATGTCAGGGTCTGTTGCTAGGGGAAGAAGGCAGCCAGGCCATGTACCAAGAGACTGTCCCAGGTGGCATTTGTTACTCTCCCGAGTTTGTCATGGCCCTGAGGGTCAGCTCACTGAGAATAGCCTCACCTTCCAGTGGCGAATTCATGTAACCCCAAGCTCACAGGACAAATGGAGAAGCAAAGCAGCCTGTGGATTGATTTCCAGGGAGTAACAGTCACATGGAATGGAATACTTGCATTGGTATGACAAGCTGTTTTTTCCTATCGGGAACCCTACTAGGGAAGTCAGATAGCAGTGAGAATTCTCGTTTATTGACAGTGGAAAATATTACCTGTAAAAATTCATAATGCTTAATTTTTTGGTAAGTATGGAATCAAAACAAAGGAACCTAGATAAATCCAACAATTAAAGGCATCAAGCTAAAATGAATTCATTTCACAATAGAGATGATCTTGCCAAAGGTGTAAAAAGGTTAAAAATCTGTTGATTGTAACATACTGTATATACTTCCTTAATAGGAAGGGCCTTGCCAGGGGCTGGGAAATCTTGAAATTGGGCTAAAACCATCCTAAATTGTGTTTGGATGGGCTGCCTTTGCCTCTGGACACTTCAGTGTTTCCATGGCTGAATAGCCTCCCAAATTTCTTAAATATTTTATTTATTTGTTTACTTTTTAGAGCAAGAGTAAGGGAGGGAGGAAGAGAGGGAGAGAAACATCCATTGGTTGCCTCTTGCATGCCCCCAACTGGGGACCTGGCCCTGACCAGGAACCAGACCAGAGATCTTACAATTACCAACCCAGGGCTCAATCCATTGAGCCGCACCAGGCAGGGCACCTCCCAAATTTCCATTCTTTCTTTCTTTGTATGTATTTAAAGAGTAATTATTGGATCTCTAGTTCTGTAGACCTAAGAGGATACATGCATGTTAGTGTGAGTGTGTGTATGTGTGTCAGTGAGAGGAAGAAAGCAAGCAGGTGGCAGGCCAGGTGCACAGACTTTCGTTAGTACTGTCTTGTTAACCAGCTAAGTTCCGTCTTGTCTATTACATGTACTGGCTTTCTGGACAACTAAGTTTTCCTTTTAGGGAAAGGGTTCCTTTATTTTATCTATTTATTGTTTGAGCTGTCAGTAGCAATGCTTCTATTTTTTTATTTTATTTTTCAATGACAGTTTACATGCAATATTATTTTGTATTGTTTCAAGTGTACAGCATAGTGTTAGATAATCATATACTTTACAGAGTGTTCCCCCTGAAATTTCCTGCCTGGCACCATACATAGCTATTACAATGTCATTGACTATATTCCCCATGCTGTACTTTACATCCCCATGAATATTTTGTAACTACCAATTTGTACTTCTTAATCCCTTAATCTTGTTCACCCAGTCCTCCAATGCTTCTCCTTTCTGGCACCCATCATCTGTTCTCTGTGTCTGGGTTTGTTTCTGTTTTGTTTGTTTACATGTTTTGTTCTTTAGATTCTACATATAAGTTTAGTCATATGATATTTGTGTTATTTCACTCAGCATAATACCCTCTAGGTCTGTCCATGCAAGTGGTAAGATTTCATTGACTTTTATGGCTGAGTAATATTCCATTATGTAAATGTACCATATCTTTTTATCATCTCATCTATTGATGGACACTTGAGTTGTTTTAATATCTTGGCTGTTACAAATAATACTACAGTGGACATGGGGTACATAAATTTTTTTGAATTAGTATTTGGAGTTTCTTCAGATATATACCCAGAAATGGAATCACTGAGTCATAAAGCATTTCCCTCTTCAAATTTTTGAGGAACCTCCGTACTGTTTTCCACATTGGCCACACCAGTCTGCATTCCCACCAGCAGTGCACGAGGGCTTCCAGAAATGGGTTCCTTTAAATGTTTGAAAACTATTTTGTTAATATTACATTCATGACTTACTGCCTTAAAAGTTATTTCTCTTTAAAATGATTGTATGTGCCTATTTTGATTCAGTGTTTATCACTTTTACTGTTTAGTAGTATAATAATAATATAATAATAAACATCTTATTTCCTTCATTTTCAACACCCCTCCCCCTTCCATTTACAAAGTCATACAGGAATAGTCTCTAAAAATGGGCAGCAGTGAGTTATGTGGTGTTTGTGGTAGAAATTATATAGACCAAAAGCCAATGATTTTACATCAGATTTTTCAAAGTACACACACTCTGCTTTCAGGAAATTGGATTCAGCATGTGTCAGAAAGGTATCCCGGCACTCTGTGCATTAAACTTTGAGATCCACTGCCTTAAATTCTCTCTCAGCTGAAGATGAGGAAGGAAAGTTAAGGAAAAATGATATATATACTTGGTTATTTATATTGATATGCGTATCATTAGAAAATTATAGAATAATATTGGAAAGTAAAATAACAAGGTCCCTAAGCCACAGATCACTGCATTAATTTATAGCCACTTCCGGTGGTGGCTGGCACTGCTTGCCAGCAGTGGTAAGGGTTAGGGGCGCGGCTCTGCCTTCATTCAGAGACCCAGTAAAGCTTCACCTCACCATTTATCTTCTTTGCTCTTTTGTCATTGATTCTGGCACTTTGCGGCAATTATCCTGAGCCTCTACATACAGAAATGTACTAGGTATTTGGGAAGCCAATTCAATTTTCTCAATTTTAAACCAGGGGAAGAAAAGTGGACAAAACGATGGCTGTCGTAAATACAATTAGCAAAAAATGTCCATGTTAATTCTTTTCTCTTCTCAACCTTCCATTTTTTTAAAAAAAAATCTACAAGAGAGAAGTTTCTAGCAAGCCAGCAACATTTTAAGTTACAATTTCTTTAAAATCAAAAGTTCCCAAAATGAAACAGGAAGAAAATCAGAGTTAAGACTATCACACGTTTTTAAAATATCCCCATGGAGACAAATAATAAATGTATAATCTTTGGCGTGAAAACTGGCCTGGAGCGCACTTCAGGAATTGGATTGCAGCAGCCTGAGCATCACATCAACAACACGTTACAAGTGCCCGCACTCCCTGTAAATGTGCTCGTACATTCAGCTGCAGTCAAGGGAATTGCTTGGAGACAACGTGAAAACGATTATTTCTAACTGTATCTTTAGAAAGACCTGGCTTTTTGTAGTGTTACCAGTTCTGTAGGAATATGTGTTTCAGTCAGAAGATACTTCATATTCATGTTTTCTACCACGGCAGTGAGAATCATTTTCCTACTGGCAGTTTGCCCTCATTCTTCTACCACCAAAATCATTTTCTTTCATGTCTATGTTGTAAGGCCCATGTTAATTATTTGAGGGTCATAGGTCATAATGATACAGGCATCACTTTAAAGAAGTTTAAAGAGTTTTTAAAATATAGTATAGTATAGTTTGGACACATCTTTCAGCATAATTTTCTGGATGGAATGGTTTTCTCAATTATGCTTTATGAGTTCGGTCTGTGATCCAGTAGTGCCTCCCAGGATACACAGTTCAACAAGATTGCTTAGCAGTTCTTTTTCAGTCTGTTTGAATTGCTCTCTCTCTGTGCTTCTCAGTTCAAATCCTGTGCTGAAGAATATGTGGCCTGAAGGCAAACTGAGCATTACCGAGGTGACCAAGAGACCTCTGACCGCCGCCACCTTATTTAAGAATTCTATGATTGCTTTAGTAGACAACCTTGCATCAAAGGTAATTATTTTCTAAATATCCAAGTTAATTCCCAGATTTCCTTTTAATACATGTTATATAGAATGTATATATGGTTTGCTTTTTTAGGTAATTATAGTAACTCAAACTGAAGAATATGTATTTAAAATGATTGTTATGATAGAATTTTTATTGCTTTTTGGGTAAAACTGGTGTTTGTGTCCCAGATTAAATTTTTTTTTCAATTTGGGCTTTTTATCCTACTGTTGTTGTCAAGGGAAAAGTCTTAGTAAGGTCTTTAAAACATAGATGATAGATAGATCGATAGATAGCTAGAGAGAGAGAGAGAGCATATGCCTGACAAAAATAAACTTCAGCCCTGTGCTGACGACAAGGGCTGGCTTAAAAAAAACCTTGACTGTAATACACCATCTGTATATCATCTGAATACAAAACGATCAGCTAGAGTTTTAAGGTAAAGTTTAGTTCGTAAGTATTGTCCTTAGGCTGTTTTATTTTTTAGTTTTGTTTTTTTCCTTAGGCTGTTTTAAATAGTTGAAATCAAAGGATGTAGTATTGACAATTACTTCTGCTTTTTATTGTTCCTTTGAGATCTAACATTGTTTGATAACTTTAGTCTGTTTTTATTTTCTTTTCTTAAAGAACAGATTTTTACTTGTAACTGCTGCTGCTGACAAGTTTGATAAATTAGAGAGCATTCCGGGACTCGTTATTTTTAGTTCCTTCATTTTTATTTTTCTCTTCTAGTGCTTTTCCTGTGTATTTTCTTCTTCATTATTATCTTTTTTTTTAATCGACTACTTTTCTAAGAATTTAAATCCCTAGCATTGCTAGTTACTTCAGTGTGGATAAATTAGGCACATGCCACAGAACATATCTGTTCAGTGTTTTTTGTTTTTTTTCCATCAAGATCTTTGGCCTCAAGTAACAACAAATGAGCACAGTGTCCAGAAAGGGAGGGAAAGGACACAGATACCAAAGACTAGAATTCATTAGAACCCTTCCTCTTGCCTCTCAGCTTCTGTCCGCATGTCATCTTTACCCTGTCTCATTCAGCGAAGGAATAGAGTGGAACAAAAAAATTTATAAAATATATATTTATAAATTGTTATTTGTAAATATAATGTTTATAAAATATTTTATTTATAAATTTATTGTCTATAAAATAGATTTACTTAATTAACTAGAAAATAATCAACTTTTCCAAAATGTACTTTTTTTACAAAGTTTTTTTTAGGGGGCGGGGGAGGAAGGAAGAAAGAGAAGGAGAGAAACATCAATGTGTTGTTGCCTCTCATGCGCCCCCTACTGGGTACCTGATCTTCAACCCAAGTTTGTGCCCTGACTGGGAATTGAACCAGCAACCCTTTAGTTCAAAGGCCAGTACTCAATCCACTGAGCCACACCAGCCAGGGCTAAAATGTACATTTTTAAAAAATAAAAATACTAGAATCATTTACAGTTTCTGTATCATAAATTAGATTTACTGCTAATAAAAGAGACCCCCAAGTTAGTAGCTTAAATTTGAGAGACGTTTATTTCTCTGTCCTGTAAGTAAAGCACAGAAGAAAGTATCGCAGGATTGGTATAGCATCTCTAAGGTGATCAGGGACCCAGGTTCCATCTGTCTCTCTGCTGTACCATCCTAGGGCTTGTCATGCATCCTCCTGGTCCAAGGTGACACCTGGGGCTCCTTTCCTTCTAAAGAGACTTCTTTGAAGCCTCTCACAGCACTTCAAATACATCTCATGTGCTGTACCTAGTTGCCAGGGAAGCCGGGAAGTGCATTTTTATTCTAGTCAACTGTTCACCCAGCTAGAAATAAGTATTCTGTTTCAAAGTAGGAAAAAGATACTGGATATAAGGTAGGCAACTAGCCTATTGTCCTTGCTACAGCTGCCCAATCTGTACATTTATGGAAATGGGGGAATGAGGGCGAGAGCAGGGACAAGCAAAAGAATATAGTCAATAGACAACAAGAAGATGGATGGGGAAGAAACAAAGGAAAAATGTCAATTACATTTAGAAAATACAAAATAAAGTGATAGAAATAAATCTAAATAATTGCTACTCACTCTAACTGTAGATAGACTAAACAGACTAGATAGGTGGTTGCTACTCACTCTAACTGTAGGTAGACCAAACAGACTAGATAGGTGGAAAATCCACCTTACCTATAGGAGATACCTAATTAAAACTAAGCAGAAAGATTATAAACAAAGAGATAAATACATATCAAACCCCCACTCCCCCCAAAAAAAACTGGTTAAAAGCAATATTAATGTGAGATAACACAATTTAAGGAAAAAAAGTGTTAATGCAGATAAAGAGGCTAATAATAAAGTGAAAATACCAGGACAATAAAGCTGTTTTGTGCTAGATACCCAATAACATAGCCATGATTATATGTGATCTCTATTGAAGAAAAAGAAGGTGGCCTTGACTGGTGTGGCTCAGTGTATTGAGCACCTGCCTGTGAACCAAAGGGTCACCACTTCAGTTCCCAGTCAGGGCACATGCCTGGGTTGCAGGCCAGGTCCCCCAGTAGGGGTCGCAAGAGGCAACTACACATTGATGTTTCCCTCTCTCCCTCCTTTACCCTCTCTAAAAATAAATAAATAAAATATTTTCTTTATTAAAAAAAAGCTGAAAAATTCTAAAGGAAAAATTGACAAGTACACAATCCTAGTGGGAGATTTTAAACCAAAGCTACCAGAAACTGATAAATCAAGCAGACAACAACCTTAGTAAGAATGCAGAAGCTTTGAAAAACAGATGTAAACTTTTGTCTAATAGATCAAAAGAACTCTGTGTCCAGGGCATAGGAAATACATTCCTTTCAAGTATACATGGAACATTTACAAGATTGACCACATGCTAGACCACAAAGTTTTACCCATTTTAAGAAATGTATATACAAATATACTCTCCATCCTCATAGCAAGTAAAATAAAATTCAGCACTAAAATTTTTAATGTGTTTAGGAACTTTAAAAAGTTACTCTCTTAAGTAACTTAAGTTGAAGAAGAAATCTCAATGGAAATCACAAAATATTTGGAACTGCATGACAAAGAACTTGTAGGAAAGCGCCAAAGTATCGCCCTTGTTTGGCCTGTATAAAAAACAAGGAAGACTTCAAGTAAATGAGTTAAGTTATCAAGAAGCCTGAAAAGGAACTCCAATGAAAATATGAAGAAAAAATAATTTTAATGGAAAATTTGATCAAATAGACAAATCTTGAATAAAACTGACTTTAAAAAGAGAAAACAATATTATGAATGAAAAAAGAATACAACTCTATTACAGAGATTTAAAAAGCTTCAGAATATTATGAACAGTTGTATGCCACTACCTGACTCATTTTGTGAGATTAATATTGCCTTAGTACAGGTTAGTATTAGAAAATAAAATTAGAGATCAGTTTTACCTATGTACATAGACATACAGATTTTAAAAATACATGAATACTGCATTTTCTGACAATATAGTGAACAAAGTGCCCACTAAAACCAACTGAAAACAACTAAAGTGCTAGGTCAGTTATAAAAACCAATTTCTTGAATGCAGCCATGAACTAACAAGAAAGCAAGGAATATGCAGGCCAGGGACTGTAAAGGCAGGAGTTAACTGAGTGAAATGAGAAATAAGCACAGCGCTCAAGCTGCCTTGTGGGGATTTGTTGAAGTAGCTAACGTTGAGTATAGCAGTTCAAAGCCGGGTCCTGGAAGTGAAGCCCAGGGCCTACCCCAACTAGGGTATCTGACAGATTACACACACACACAAACACACATGCTCACACACATGCCCACACCATGGTGGGTCTCCAGGGCGCTGCCTCCTCAAAGGGTTGCCTCTAGAGTGAATTAGAAGTAATCCCTCATTATCTTAAGGGAAAACTGCCTCTCTTGGCCCTTGGCAGTGAGCCAAGAGGGGTGCTTGAACATTTCTTGAAATGTTATAATTATAAGCTACCCGGGGAGCCTGAAAAAGTGCAAGCCAATAATTTAGTTTAAAGTGCCCTGGGTCCGGTGTTGCCCCCAGGCATCTGATAGAAATGAGAAACTTCACACCAGACCTTAAAGAATTTCCAAAAATAAAGTTCTAAAGAAAATTAGGTGTTCCCAGTAAAGAATCACTACACACACAAAACAAGATAACATATGCGAGAATCAGACGAAACAACAGATTTAGACTTATGGGAACTACTTACACTGGAATTATCAAAAACAATATAAGAATGCATAATATGTTTCAAGAAATGAAAGGTTTAAAAGTATGAGAAAGAGCAAGTAACTACTCAGTTGATAGAAATAAAAGCTAAAATAAAGTTAAAGACTCAGTGGATAGGTTTAACATCATATTATGTTGGCCAAAAAGTCTGTTATATTTTTTTCTGTAAAATAAAAGACACATTTTTTATTGTCACCAGTAACTATATTGATTTGGATATTTTGAGTGTGTTAGCTATCTCCCACTAATTGGCTTCTATTGGGCAGAGGCCAGGGGTGCTGCTAAACATGTTCCTGCGCATGAGACAGCCCCACAGCGGAGAATTATTTGGCCAAAATGTCAGGAGTACCAAGAGACTTCCCTAACCACTTTGACGTGTTCAACCCATCATAGTACCTTCTCTATTCACTGCACAAACCTTCTTTTGCATTTCAGTTCCGTTTTTGCCTTTCTTGAAATAATAAAGCATAATAGTCCAAAATGTTGCATATTCCCTTCCATCTTTATTCTTTTTAATATATTTTATTGAGTATGCCATTACAGTTGTCCCATTTCCCCCCTTCAATCTCATCTCCCCAGTACACCCCCTCCCCCCCGTTCCCCCCTTTAGTTCATGTCCATGTGTCACAAGTTCTTTAGCTTCTACATTTTCCACACTACTCTTGTCCTCCCCCCTGTCTGTTTTCTACCTACCGTCTATTCTACTTATTCTTTGTACCTCCTCCCCTCTTCTCCTCCTCCCACTCCCCTGTTGCTAACCCTCCATGTGATCTCCATTTCTGTGGTTCTGC